AGATAACCAGAAGTTACAATAGTCCTGTAGCAATACTCATTGGTGATTTGGGAACTTTTTTTGTGAGCCAAGTGTCCAACATATGTGGAAACCCATCACCATGCTTAAGACTATCCAAACCAGACTGAGTGAGGGTTGCACTTATGAATGCCAACTACACATAGAAATCTCCTTCTGTCTGGAATGGAATGGGGACTTTCTCCTTTAGGGGAAGCATCCTGCTTATCTAATTCCGCAAAACATTAGGGGCAGGCTGGCAATAGACAAAAGCTTGGGGCACCATTGTGTGCACTGGGGTCACTGGTGGGGTTAACCAGCTAAAACTGCATAGCTTGCCATAAAAACACTGAGTGGCAAGATTCCTGCTGCTTATTCAACAAGGACCACCCTGTATGTTTGGGTTTTGACTTGCAGGGTTAACAACAACAAAACCAAGATTACATTTGTATAACGCCTTTCATGTCGAGTGGACCTCCCAAGGCGCTGGACAGTGTACAGCATTTCAGACCCGAGCTGGGGTCAGGGATGGAAAAGAGAAGGGAGGGGAAGGGGGCTGACTGATGGCATGGTCGAAGAGGAGGGTCTTCTGGAGGAGACTGGGGGCTGGAGGAGAAACCGTTAGAGGCAACAAAGTGGAGACGGTGAGGGAGATAGGAATCGAACCAGGCAAGGGCAGGTCCGCGAAGAGTAAGTAAAGAGGAGAGGCGGTGTATGAGGATGGAGTGGTCGACAGTGTCGAAGGCGGCAGAGAGATCGAGGAGGACAAGGAGGCAGAGGGAGCCCTGATCACAGATGTTCAGAATGTCATTAGTGACTTTAACCAGGGCTGTTTCTGTGCTGTGGGCAGCACGGAAGTTGGATTGGAGGGGTTCAAAGAGGGAACGGCGAGAGAGAAAGGAGTGGAGCTGGGACGTGATGACTCATTCTAGTACCTTGTAGAGGAATGGGAGGTTAGAGATGGGGTGGTAACTGGAGAGGAGGGATGGGTCCAGGGAAAGTTTTTTCAGGATGGTGGTGATGACGGCTGTTTTTAGGGGGGTGGGAACTGAACCGGTGGACAAGGAGAAGTTGATGACGTTGGACAGGATAGGGGCCAGAAGGCGGAGCTGGGAGATGAGGAGAGAGGTGGGGATGGGATCGAGGGATCATGTGGTGATTTGAGTTTTCAGACAATCGAGGTGAGGGAGGAGGGAGAGATAGGGTCGAAGGAGTATAGCGGGGGATGGGTGGGGGTTGGGTCATGAGGTAGAGGTGATGTGGGGGTGGCGGTGGAAGGGGCAGAGGTGGCTGAACATGTCCCCTCGATTTTGGTTTCGAGGAAATCCAGCATCTCCTCACAGTTGGAGTTTGAGGAGAGGATAGGCGAGGTGTGGGACAATGGACGGAGGAGACGGTTTGTGGTGGAAAAAAGAAGCCTGGGGTTGTCTTTTGCCTCCAAGATAACCTTGGAGGAGAAGGAGGATTTGGCAGAGGCAAGAGTGCAGCGGTAGGTCTGAGGAGCTGAGTGGGAAGGAACCCTATTCCGAGTCATGGGTCTGTCCTCCAAGTCCCACTGATGAGCCAGGCTGGCTGATCTGTCATCAGCAGTGCCCGGAATACTGCACATCTGCCTGGAACATGACTACCGAGACCGCCACAGAGGATTAACTCGATTCAGGCGGACATTCTTTTACAAAGCATGTCACTTTGGAGCCAGTTCACAAGCAGTTTGTTCTGGGGACCCTCTTCTATATAGTTGGTGCAAAATCATTACAGGAGGCATAAAGAGACGACTTGAACTCTGTTTGGGTAGGATTCCAACTCAGCTCTCAGAGGTGAAGGGACGGTGTGACTGACCAGTTTCTCCAAGTTAAAGACTACAAATGTACAATATAAAGTACTGCATTTTTTAAAATAGGAGAATCCATAGGTAGCCATTGATTTTCATTCACTATAATAAAGTCAGCCAACAAATAAGCAATACACAAGCTACAGATTACACTTCATCCATTGATTCAGAGTCCCTCCTTGTGAAACTTATCCAACAGAGGGCAGCAGAGCCTAATGAATTGGAAGCATTTTCTGAGGTTAATCTGACTCAGACATACAAACACGATCCAACTACCCTATTTACTCTGTCAATACCCTTCATTATTTTGAATGTGCCTCAATGAGACCATTCCTCAACCTCCTGAACTCCCAACACGTACAAACTGATTGCTCAAGCCTCTCGCCATTAGTCCCCAGGAAGTCACTGTGGCTAGAATGGCCACTTTGCAAAAGCTCCTGCACTGCTCCAGCAGAAATCCAGAGAATATTTCTCAATGCCTCGAGAGGATTCTCAGATCAGTGAAAAGAATCAGCTGCAAAATTCTCCATAACAGCTTGGTCACAGGATACCATAAATATAGTTCTTGTCATCAGTCCAAGGATCCATGTGTAATTCTGGACCTGGACTCTTCCTCCTGCTAATGAGAAACATTCTAAATGACAACTGCAAAGCTCTAGTGATAGAGAGCACTGTCCAGATTCTTACAAAAAGATAAATCCTACAATTTAACTTGCATCTCACCAGAACGTTCAACCTATTGGAAGTCCTCAAAAGCCTCTGGAGCAAATTTTATTGGGTAGTGATTCTCGTGTTTGCATTATTTTGATTACCTCCAATAGAAACATCAACCCTTTTGAAATTGTAGTTAGACTCATTGGTGCAATCTCTACAATAATAACTTGCATTTATATAGCGACCTTCAAGCGGGGTAGTGTCCCGGAACACTTGACAATGGTGGAATCTGACACCGAGGGAGGGGGGAGCTGACTGTAAGCACGAGCAAAGAGGAAGGTCTTTAGGCAGGAATTGATAGTGGGGAAGGAGAGAGCAGAGCGGAGGGATTGAAGGAGAGATTTCTAGAGTTTCGGGAAGTTTTTGGCTGAAGGCATGGCCACCGATGGTGAAGTAGATGGGGGACGAGGGACAAACAAGAGGACAGAGCCAGCCGAGTGGAGACAGCTGGTGGTGGGTAAGTAGATGGGATAGGTAGGGAGGTTCGAGGGAATGAAGGGATTTGAAAATGAGTGAGAGGAACTTGAAATTGATACGTTCAGTAATTGGATGTCAGTGGAGCCTGACAAGGACTGGTGTGATGGGGTTACGGAGTTTTGTGTGATTGGGTATGTGGGTGATAGTGTTTTGGATTAAGTGTATAGTGGAGCTCGAGAAACCAGCAAAGAGGGCAGTGAAATAGCCTAGCTGGGAAATGACAAAGGCGTGGACGAAGCTGTCAGCTGCATTGGTTGTGAGGTACGGACAGAGGTGGGCAACGTGACATAAGAGTTTTTTGAGGATGTAACTAGGAGGTTATATAGGGGAAGCCAGTAAATCTGGTGTATTTGGATTTCCAGAAGGCACATAAAAGGCTGTTGGATAAGATTAGAGTCCATGGAATTAAATGTAATATATTAGCATGGATTGGAGAGTGGCTAACAGGAAGAAAACAGAGTAGGGATAAACGGGTCCTTCTCAGATTGACAGAATGTGACTAGTAGAGTGCCACAAGGATCTTGGGCCTCAATTATTTACAGTCTATATCAATGATTTAGATGAGGAAATAGAACTTAACATATCTAAATTCGCGGACGATACAAAGATAGGTGGGAATGTAAGCTGTGAGGATGACACACGAAGAATGAAAAGAGAAATAGACAGGCGAGGTGAGTGGGCAAGAAGGTGGCAGATGGAGTATAACGTGGGGAATTGTGAAGTTATTCATCTAGGTAGTAAAAATAGAAAAGCAGATTATTTTCTAGAGGGAGAAGAGACTAGGTAGTGGTAGTGTTCAGAGGGATTTGGGTGTCCTTGTACACCAGTCGCAAACAGTTAGTATGCAGTTACAGCAAGCAACTAGGAAGGCTAAAGCCATGTTGGCGTTCGTTGCAAAAGGGTTGGATTACAAGAGTTAGAGAAGTCTTGCTGCAATTGTGTAAGGCCTTGGTGAGACAGCACCTAGAATATTGTGTGCAGTTTTGGTCTCCTTATTTAAGAAAGGACATACTCGCCTTAGAGCAGGTGTAGTGTAGGATCACTAGGTTGGTTCCTGGGATGAGGGGTTGACCTATGAGGATAGGTTGAGTAAACTATGGCTATATTCTCTAGAATATAGAAGAATTAGAGGTGATCTTATAGAAACCTATAAGATTCTTAAGAGTCTTGACAGGGTAGATGCCGTGAGACTGTTTCCCCTGGTTGTAGAATCTAAAACTAGGGGTCATAGTCTCAAGATTAAGGGTCAGCCTTTTCAAACTGAGTTGAGGAAACATTTCTTTACTCAGAGGGTAGTGAATTTGTGGAATTCTCTAGCCCAGAAGGCTGTGAATGCTCAGTCCTTGAACATATTCAAGACTGAGGCTGATAAATTTCTAAAGGATAGAGGGATTAAGGGATATGGTGATAGGGCGGGTAAATGGAATTAGGTTAGAAGATCAGCCATGATCTAATTACATGGAAGAGCAGGCTTCAGGGGTTGAATGGCCTACTCCTGCATCTTATGGTGATGAAGGTGGAAAAAAGCGGTCCTGGTCATGGGAACGGATGTGGGGTAGTAAGGAAAGTTGGGGATTGAACCCGACGTCTAAATTGCTCAGTTAGCCTGATGGAGAGCCCGGGGAGGTTGAGGAGTTCAGACCCTCAAGAGAGAAGAAGCTGATGGCTTCCGCCTTGCCTACATTCAGCTGCAGGAAATTTGCACTCACCCTGGCCTTGATGTCCGTCAAACAACCTGACAGGACATCAGTGGATTGGGAGTCGCAGCTGTAGAAGTAGATTTGGGTATCACCGCATACCCATTTTGACAAGATAGCAGATGCAGTTCCAGAAAGTGGGGGCAGAAAAGCATCAAGGCTGAAAGCCCAACTGCTGTTGGTGAGGTAGCCAGGAAAGGAAGAGAGGATTTTGCAAAACAAAATACCAGTTTATGTTATTTCATGTAGGATTGCAACTTCCCAGACAGTATATATGAAGCCTGTACAAAAAAATTCTATTTTATTTGATATATTTTGAAGAGCTGTACAGAGCATAATACCTGGTGTGCTGGTTTTATTCACGATGAAGTACAGTACAGTTAAGCACCATTAAAATGTTAGAACTAAAACACCAATCGCAGTACAGTTTAGTGAACTGTAAGAAAACATATTTACAGTTTAACAATTATAAAAAGTGAATAAAACCATTAAAAAAACATTCTATACTGAAAATGGTATTTTTAAAATTAAAAGGCTGCTTCGTGACAGAATCCGCTGTGACGGAAGAGGTTTGACTTAGCAGAAGTTCCCTGAAATACTCGACTGGGGAATTGGCTCTTAGTTCCTTTCCACACAGTCCACGCCCACAGACGTATCCGGACAGCGACAGGACCGTCCAGTAGGTGTTGCTAAACATAGATGAGTGCAGCCTCCATTATTTACAGCACAATGGTTCCGTCCTATAAAAAGAGAAAAAATATTGAAGCTTTGGTGCTATAGCTCCACTCTGAGCATTGCCTCCGCTTGGCTGCCTCTAGCTTGTCCCTAATCCTCTCCACCATTGGTGGCCTCGCTTTCAGCCACTATGCCCTGAAGCTTTGAAACTCTCTCCCTCAATCCCTCGGCCTTGCTCCCTCCTTTCCCTCTTTTAGATCAAGACCGAAGATTTTCCTCTTTGACTGTGCTTATGGTCATCTCCTCCCTCCCCCTGGTTGTTGTTATATATGGACTTCCCAGTGAACCCTTCCTAACATGTGACCTATTAGACAATAAAAATTGCAGAATGTGCTTTTTCTAACCTTCATTTGGAAACAAAAAAACTTGTATTATATTAGAATGTGGGTTGATTTTCATTAAAACTTTAATCTTTACAGTACCTGATCACTTCAAAAGTGTCTCAAAGCATTTAATTTCATAAATACTATCAAGTCCACTGACAACTTGTAGGCAAATTCAGCAGTCAAGTTGCCAACAAGATCCCATAAACAATCCTGAGATGAATAATGATAATAATCAAAGTGCTTAACAGGATTTCAAATAGTGACTCTTTGTAAGCAAATAACCAATTACTCTGAAGGATTATTGGCAGACACTGGGATCTTGTCTCTTCAAACAGAGTCATAAGATGCTTAACATCTACCAGAAAACCAGGTGGGATATTGGTTTAATGTCTGACCCAAAAGATTGGGACGAAGGTGCATTATCTACGTAAATAATAGAATTTGACTTCCACAAGAATTGCCTATTTTAGAATCAAACAACACAACTTAACAGAGAACAGCAACTTCAGTCTAGCATACCAGGAACTAGCTGCTATGGAACAACCCAAAATAATATTTCCCATGGTCTCGTTGAGTCAGACATTTAAAAGGGATGCAATTTAACAAATACAAGCGGCCAGTTTGGCAGCAGTTTGTTACCTGGAGGGCACTGTGAATAGGCTACGGTTATTCCATACAGACGGGATCGCTTGCGTGGCTGTTGCTCATCACTTTCTCGTCCACTGATGCGATCCACTGCTATTACAGCATCCCTTCAACAATACAAAATTTGACATAACAGAGGGTTTGCAAACATAATTCAGTTAATGCCCCAAACAGCTGATTTACTGCTGGCAAACAAAACAATCTGCTGCAATTCTATTTTAGTCTAGTCATTTCTCTGAAACAGAAACTGTACTTAAGGGGATACACACAGTTCCTAAATGCAATTGAAACATGAAGCAAACAAAAGGATTTTCCCTCTTCCTCCATTTTTAAAGAGTAATGTTTTACAGGAGGTTACACAAGCTCAACACATCATGGGTGCAATTTTGATCCAAGCAGAGCATTGAGTGCATGCATTGTGTGCCACCAGCTGAGTCCAGCTTTGGTTAGGCTAATGAAACAAGCTAATCTTCCAACTGCAGTTGGCTTGCAGTACTAGGAGAAAAAGTTACTTTTTGGGCACAAATGCAAATTGGATTTAAAAGTTCAATGTTAAAGCTTCTCTCAATAGCTCAGTTTGTAAAATCTATTGCTCGTTTTGAAAATTAGAGGAAGGTCATGGCTCATTACTATTCTTTGCCATATTTTATCCAGGGCAACGAGGAAAGACAGGTGGGAGAAATTAAACAAAAAGACTTTAGCTCAGTGGTTGAGCACTTGCTTTGTAGCTAGAGACCTGAGTTCAATTCCAGGCAGGGCGAAACCTTGGACAAGTTTCCTTACTCCACACAGAGCCTAATAATAATCCCTCTAAAACCAAAAACAATAATAAATTGGTCATTTTCAATCCATGACTGTTTGTGGGACATTGCTGTGCGCAATTGGCTGCCGCGTTCGCCCACAAATATACAGTCAATTCACTTTACAGTGTGTTCTGTGAAGCGCTTTGGGACGTCCTCCTGACGTGAAAAGCGCTATATCAAATGCAAGGATTATTATTATTATTATTATTTGTCTCCATTTACAATCCAGTGACCTGTACTGCAAAGTGCGCATGTCTGGACATCAGATAAAGACAGGTTAAAGTTCAACTATGATCCTTAATCTACTGTCCATGACCTTGCTGACAGACAAGGGGTTTCGGAGTCACTGGGGTAAGCTTTCAAAGAATGCCCAGAACTCGTGAAGCTATATTAACATACTCCAGTGTGACAAGTACCATCACAGGAGAAGGGATTTGAAATCAAATAGTCAAAAAATATGGCTCACCAAATGGTACAGCGAACAAAAGCACTGAGCCAGAAAAATTCTATGTGTTATCCCTGATCCTTGTAGAGTAGGTTAATCTCAGTCAAGGAACATGACAATTGGCCTCAGTATTCCTCAGATCAAGACGAGGGGAATAGAGGCGAAACAAAATCAGGCATTGTTCCCACTCCTGATCGCTATCTAATGACATGCGTGTGTCGACATTGGGTCAGAACAGATTGGGCTCAGTTGTGGTGCTCTCACGGTCAAATAGCCCAGCAACACAAAGAATGCGCAAGGCCCTAGAGGGCTCCTGACACCAATGGAGCCATACCCAATGAATGTGTCAGTGCTCTCAGAAGAAGTGGGAACAAATTAATGGGAAAAAGAATAAAACACTTCAAATGATTTCAGGATTTAATAGTCAGCACTTCTGGCTACTGGCCCTAGTCAGTAAATCTATCAGAAGGGTGAAAGGTTAAGAGAGATTGCAGATTAAAACAGATGGCCCAAATCACAGGAATCCAGCAATAACATGACCTGTAAAAAGAAGTAAGGTTTTGCTGATCAGCCCCTAATCTCCTTTCCACCCCCCAACAGGATTTGGTCTCCTTTTGCAATTTTGAAAACAATGAAAATTGTTTACGCATATGTCCAAAATACCTTTAAAAACAAACTCGTTCACTGAATTAAATCTCCTGGTAATACAGACTAAGAAATAAATTAGAAAAAAAACTCCCTTGTTGAAATGAAGTTTCTAGGGGTAAAAAGGCCAATGTTAAGTTATTTTGTTGATCCTGGTGCAGTTTCGCAGCAGGCTGGGAATTCTGTGGTTAAGATAATGCTGGACATTTTACTCCAACAATAAATTTATTAATATTATGTCCCTTCTACACAAAATTATCTAAAACCACGACTTCAGGCTAAAACCAACAAAACACTCAACCCAACACAATCTTGGGAAATGTGCTGAAAACATAGAAACGGATGCAGTACCTCCTCCAGTCTGTGTAGTACAAATTCCTTCCATAGCTTGTAATGCCAAAGGGATATTGGATATCTTCAAGAACCTTCCTGCGACCAGTCTGATTGGGGCTCATACATTCCAGCCTCCTGGTCCCTGCAGACAGTAAACCTCTGCAGTTAGATATCTCAGTGCAGCAACACCCAGGCAGGGAAAAGAGTTTGCTTCCGAGCTAGTTGTAGGGAGGGCCCCTGTTGCTTTTGGAAAGTTCTTTATTAGAGGAGAGTAGCTCTGCACAGTTTTATTCTAACATTAGTTTCAAGCAAAAAAAGAGGCAGACGATAATTAAACGTACTTCCAAGCAAAGAGATTTACCAAAGTTAGGAATTGGAAATCTGCAAAAGGGCTTTGATGGTTTTAAATCTGATTTCCCACGACAAAAAATCATGGTGATGTTGCAATTACAGCTATAAATTTATAGTACAACATTAAGTTACACAGCTGCAAGCACAACTGTGCAGTTCAGTCTTGAGCATAGCAGCTGGTTGTATTCATCGCATTTGTAACTTAAGTGGTTTCAGGTTTAGAAACCAACTGGTCGTTGACGCTGATGCGAAAGGAGCTGCTGCTTAACCCAGATGAACAATCGACTAAGCCAAAAATGATAAAATATTGTAAATATTTAATGCGCAAGACAAAACCACACACACACACACACACAAACATAGGACCTAATTCAGCACTATTACATTACAATTCAATAAACACAAGAGTTGAGAAACCATACAAGGATTCGACAGTCTAGATGTTACTTTTTGTTTGTGAACATGTAACTTCCCACCATCCACATGTTGCAGCAGGCACCGCATAGCTAGTTACTGGTAGAACGGACACTTCGGTTCAACCTACCTGCATCAGCCCAACACAACAATGAAGTGAATGGGTCATAGGTCAGACCATTGGGCAGGCCAAGATCATCTTTCACGAGGACTCTTCTGTTAGTACCGTCCATGTAAGAGGTTTCAATTTTGGGAGCATCTCTGTTCCAGTCAGTCCAGTAGATATTTCTGTAAAGAAAACACGGTTGAGCAGTAGCTCTGGTAACTTAGTCTAGAAAAATATATGCCCAGTTAACTTTACTAGACTTGTATAGTGGTTTGATGAAACATCACTGCTTATAACCATCGTACAATTGGCCATTCACTTCATAACTCTTTGTGGGACCTTGCTGTGCACAAAATTGCTGCTGCGTTTGCCTACAAATACAAGTAACTAGACTTATCTGTGAAACACTTGGAGATGTTTGACGTAATCGGTGCTCTATCAAATGCAACCATGATACTATTGTATTGTTGTTTAGACCACCCCCCAATAGGGCCTAATCAGCACTGGCCTAATACAAGGTACACTTGGGATGGACTCATCCCTCTGCCAATTTGAATGACCCCTGGCAAAAGATGGTAGCAAGAAGAATGATGTACTCTCCCTTTGTCACTTTCGCGTACCCACCCCAGTACTGCCTCAGTACCTTGGATCTGTCAAAGTCTGCCCCTTTTTCCTGAGGTAAAATTAATCCTTGCATTTAATATTTTTAACAAGACCAAAGCAATTAGCTTCAACAGCTCACTCCCCCACTGTAAAGTAATACGTTTACTTCAGCAATTTTTTTTGCACACACAACAAAAGACCTTGAATATATGGAACTCCAATGCCTGCACTGGCCTCATTCCTAATGAGGGGAAGTACTTGTTAAGTACTGCCTTCAGCCTCTAACCAACACAACCCCTGTACACAGCATAAATCCATTCATTCCAATGCTATAAGGCTGACATCAGATACACTATATACACTGATACAGAATTCTGCAAGTTCAGAGGGCAATTTACTGGTCTTACTGGGTCACAGGAGAACACAGAACACTGCAAAGAACACAAACACCACCACCCTTTTCAGCCACAAACCATTGCCTTAGTCTGCAAAATCCTTGAAACTTCTAGCTGGGAAGTGATTAACCCCTTGCTATCCAAATCTCAGAAACTGTGGTACAGCCCAAATCCACACGAAAGCCTTTAGAAAAAGGGGGGAAACACACAGAACATAACTACTGTTAACTTCAGAATATTAAAAAGTTGCAGCAAAACGCAAGAATTACCATTTTGTACTTGAGTGATTCCAGTCACTCATCCAGAGTGGAGATGTAACCTCAAATTGTGGGACTGAGTTTTTTTTTGGGGGGTGGGTGGGGGGGAGAGGGGGAAAAAAAGCTATTCATTAAATGCAATGCAGGCTGCAGTAAGTCATTAGCTTCCACAGTGAGACTCCATTACATACAGTTCAGCTGTTTCTTTCTCTCTCATCCCCCCTCCCTCCCAAAACACACACACAATTGGATTAAAATTTCTTGCCATTTGGGGAGGTGGGAAGGGGTGCATGCTAAACGTTAACTGATTTAATTCTCTCTCCACAATAAAGTTTTTGTTACTGCATTCTTTCCACTTAAATAAAGACATCTGTTTAATTACGTGTAATGCGTCTGTATGGCTTGTACAAGATCTTGTTTAGACCATAGTTGGAGTATTGTGTACATATTTGGGCACTGTTACCAGAGACAAAGGGTTTCAGTTATTGAAAGAAAGAAGTGAATTTAGGTATTTTTTCACTAGAGCTGAGAAAGTTAAGACGGTGACCTCATAGAAATCTTTGGGATTATGAAGGGTCATAGATTATTTCCACTGAATGCAATCAGTAATGAGAGGATGCACATTTAAGGTGATCACAAAAATAATTAAAGGGGAAAAAAAATCTTTACAGAGGGTGATTTAAGTGCAGAATTCTCTGCCACAAAGCACACAAGTTCATAAAATCTTTTAATAGAGAATTAGACAGAAGCTTGAAAGCACTGCGGAATATTGAAAAGGTATGAGGTGAAACTGCAGAGCAAGATTAGATTAATTAGATGTATGTAGTTCATGGACACCAAATAAATAATAATACTTACCTTTGATATCACACCTATCACTTTGGGAGGATGCAGTAAAATGCTTCACAGGATTTACTGTGGTGACTATTTTGTGGGAAAACACAGTAACTAATTTGCACAGAACAATGTCCCACAAAGAGCCATGAAGTGAATGACTAATTGCTATACGGGGATTGGTGTGCAATACACAGGAAGAAACTCCCTTCTCTTTTTGAAGGGTTTCAAAGGATCTTTTAATGTCCACACAAACTGGCAGATTTGGTTCAGTCTTACCCAAAGGATGGCACCTCCAACAATTAAGCATTGCCCCAACACTGCATTAGAGTATCAGTCTGGATTTGAAGTCCTGACATGGGGCTTGAACCTACAATCTTCAGACATGGGGCGAGAGGGCTACCAACTGAGCCAGGCTGACATTATCTTTGAAGGCTGGCCTGCCCAGTTGCTGCTTTGTTTTAGGCCCAGCTTTGTGGAATACTGGGCTAAGACAATTGTCAACTGGTACAAATTAAGCCAGTTTTGATTGTAGTAGCCTTCCTACCTATGGTCCTATCAATTTGAATGCTTGTAAATAAAACTAACCGTCAAGTGAAAATATCTGGGCACTGTTACCGGGGCCAAGGGGTTTCAGTTATGAAAGAAATAATTGAAGTTAGGTCTTTTTCCAGTAGAGCTGAGAAAGTTATGGTAGTGATCTCAAGACACTATCCACAATTACAGCCTTTCTGCCTTTGAAGAATGTATCAAAATCTAAGATGATAGCTTTACTTCAGTTCCACAAGTTTCTGTATTCCAGTTTTTTTGTGGCACCGCTGTCCATGTTAAGCTTTTGCAAAACTAAAGACGCTAAAGACAGTGTGTGTAAAAGAGCTACATATATATGTATATACCCTCTGGCAGAATCTGTAACGATAGCTCTCGGATTCACCAGGCCACTGCTAAATAGCACCCGGCGCTGGCTTCCATCCATCTTAGCCACTTCGATCCTGTCCAGCCCAGAGTCTGTCCAAAAAATGTTGCGGCCCAGGTGATCAACAGCTATTCCTTCAGGGCTTTCCAGGCCTGTAGAGGCAATGGGTTATAATTAGATTCAGAAAGTAGCCACAAACACTCAATAATGCTGCAGTCACCAAAATTGACCTAACTTTCTAACATTCAAGAAGTACAATAGTTGCACACTGAAATATTTCAACACAAACCGTATCTGCATCAGGCAAATACTTTTTTATTTGAAACGGATTAGAAATTTAGAAATGTAAAGATAGGAGTTGGAATTTCAATCCTATGCTCTCAGCGTTCCCCAATGGCAAATGCTTTGAATAAACACTCTTCAGGTAGTTGCCATAAGCTCTCAAGAGCAGCAAAACAGTTTTTTTTTAAAAAAATAAGACTCACAGAATGTGAACACAAATTCAGTTATACAGTTTGTGTCAACTTGCTGCTGATTCATGTCATGCTCTCAGTGTCAGTTTTGAACTAACCTCAGGCTTACAAAACACACTGCAGCTAATGTGCAACAATGGAAAATCCGATAGGGCTTTAATTTATATTAGTCCGCTATACTGACCTGTTCTGATGACAGTAACAGGCTCCCCTCCTTGAAGACTGGCTCGATTGATGGTATGGCCTGCAATGTCAGTCCAGTAAACCATTTTTTCCAAACAGTCATGAGCAACACCAATGACTATCTTATCCTAAAAGCAGAACAACAAACAGACAGTTAAATAGGATGTTCAATTCTGGGCAAAACAAGCTTGGAGGATAAGTTATGAAGAATTTTTCAATTGACTGGGTGGTTCTTTATAGAGTTACAGCTTTGCTTGATGAATTACACTGATAAAGAAAGCCTGGAATGAACTGAATTCTCTCCAGTCAGGTTTACTCGAGAATTGTACTGTCCCAAATTCATTCAAATTATGAACTTTCCATCAGCAGCCTGGCTCAGTTGAAAACACTCTTGCCTTCGAGTTAGAAGGGACTTAGAACCCATACAGTCAAGCCTGACATTCCAGTGTAGTGGTGGAGTCGTGCTGCATATCATGGCTGTTTGTGGGACATTTCTGTGCGCAAACTAGCTGCTGCTTTTCCCCAACAAAACACAGTCACTCGATTTTATAGTACAGCCAGTGAAGCTCTTTGAGATTTTGAATGAAATTCAAGAGGATGCAAAACTGAGAAGATACTGCTGCCAGGGTAAATCTAGCACGGACATGAAACCTACCACTGCTGCTAGTGAGATCTGGTTTAAGGCCACATATTCTACACAAGTAAATTCAGCTAATGTAGTGTCAAGTAGAGAACTACCTTTTAGTCACTTTCAGATTTGCCTTACACCCATTTGACAGTGTAAGGTGCAAGATTTTGCTGTGATCGTCAAGCAATAAAACGTTTACAGTGATGGTACTCAGTCACCACTTACTGCATTTTTTGTCAACAATGAGTGTGGAAACTACAAGTCACACACATAGAGAGGGCGCGAGAGGCCCACCCGCGCAGAGAGCGGGCAGCGCCCGCAGAGAGCGGGCGACGCCCGCCCACAGATACAGAGAGAGACGCCCGCCCACAGATACAGAGAGAGACGCCCGCCCACAGATACAGAGAGAGACGCCCGCCCACAGATACAGAGAGAGACGCCCGCCCACAGATACAGAGAGAGACGCCCGCCCACAGATACAGAGAGAGACGCCCGCCCACAGATACAGAGAGAGACGCCCGCCCACAGGTACAGAGAGAGACGCCCGCCCACAGGTACAGAGAGAGACGCACGCCCACAGGTACAGAGAGAGACGCGCACACACAAATAGAGAGACGTGCACACACAAATAGAGAGACGTGCACACACAAATAGAGAGACGTGCACACACAAATAGAGAGACGTGCACACACAAATAGAGAGAAGCGCACACACAAATACAGAGAGAGAGACAGACGCACACAAATACAGAGACACATTCTCAGAGGGACACACACACACTCAGACACAAAGAGACATACACACACAAAGAAGACAGACACACTCACATAAAGACACACACACACACCATCACAACAGAAGGACCTCAGAGTGTAGCCCATTTGCTGCTTACACATCAGGTAACGATAGGTAAACAGCGCAAGCGGCCAGTGGGCCAGAAATTACATTTATGGCGGGTGTGTAGCGGGCGGAGGTTGTAGGGGAAAATGCGTGGCCGCACTTTTCTGTTGGCCCAGGTTAAAAGGAAGCATCAGAATGTAAAGATTTACATTAAGGAAATGTCATGTGTTGCTGCATCTGGGTGAAGAGGATAACTCACCCCTCAAATAAACTATTACAGTAATTCTTTTACAAAACATTGTGGGTGAAAGAAGAAACATTTGGACTAGTTTCTTTTGTTAGTTGTCTAGACAATTAATTGACGGTCACGATTAAGAAATCCAACTTTTCACGCACAGACTTAAATAAACAGGTTGTGGTTATTCCTCCAGCAGATACGCAAACCACAAGACTTTGTTTGCTTCAAATCCATTACATTTGAAAAATATTCTTTCCATTTCACTGCATTATACAATCTCAAGCTGTCATGCCATTATTTCTCAATGAGTTGGTTTATGAAACAAGTTTGCAGTTCAAAGATATTGGGCCACAAATACATTTTGGAAAAATAAATAAGGTTTCAGAGGACCAAATTGCATGAAATATTTCTGCAGCCATTACAGACACAAGCCTAAGTTCACTCTTTGCCGAACACTAAAAATTTAAGTTGGATACAGTCTGGAGTGAAGTATTTAATCTGGAGTGAAAGTATTTAGTCAAAGTTATTACAGCACTATAGGAAATATAGCCCTTGCAGCAGCGTTGTAGTATAATAGTTCTTCCATTTGGAATAATAACTTGCACCCGATCACATCAACGAGATGTCTCAAAGCACTTCATAGGATTCTACCGAGGGATCCTGACTTTGGGGTTCATTAATTTGATTTTTCGGGGTTTATTTATTTATTTATTTTTAGCAATTTTAGAACGTTTCTAAATTGTTTTCTTGAGGGGGGTTCGTTACTGTAAGTAGAAGGGGAGAGAGTGAGGCGCTGTCATGCATGCGCAGTGTTTCCCTCCTCTCATACACACACTTCACCAGATGTACCTGTACACACAGAGGTGAGGGAGAGGTGGAGAGAGGTTGGCACACCAGGATGCTGCCGAGAGCAAGAGAGAGAGAGCGAGAGAGAGAAAGAGAAACTTCACCTTGAAGTTGAATAACGATTTTCGGTGTTTATGGGATAAACACCAATATAATTTTTTCTGTATAGAGTGTTTTAAAAATTGGTTAAAAACGAAAATCAGAAGCTCTAAACTGTTTGGCGTATTGTAGATACATCTTCCAAATGGGTAAATCTTGAAGGATCACATGTGTTTAAAAAACTACTGTTTGCTGCAAACAGAATTAAAACAATGACTTAAGTTTAATCGTCAAATGTATCACTGGGTGGATTTAAGTTGTCGGCTGCTTCTACTATCAACAACAACTTGCATTTATTTAGCACCCTTCACGCAGGGTAGCGTCCCGGAGTGCTCGACAGTGGCGGAATTTGACTACAAACCAGGGAGGGAGGGAGGTGACCATAAGCACGATCAAAAAGGAAGGTCTTTAGGTGGGATTTGAAAGGGGTGGGGGGGGGGAGGGAGGGAGCAAGGTGGAGGGATTGAGGGAGAGAGTTCCATAGTTTTGGGGCGTAGTGGCTGAAGGCACGGTCACCGATGGTGGAGCGAAGGGGACGGGGGAACAAATAGGAGGCTGGAGCCAGCCGAATGGAGGCAGCGGGTGGGGGAGTGGGGAGGGGTGGGGGGAAGCAGATTAGATAGGTAGAGAGGTGCAAGGGCATGAAGGCATTTGAAAACGAGTGAGAGGATCTTGAAATCGATCCATTTGGTAATTGGGAACGGAGACTTGCAAGGACTGGTGTGATGGGGGTACAGAGTTTTGGGACAGAGCCTGAGGAGAGGGATTGGTTGATTGTGTCGGCCAGCAGTGGGCAGAGGAGAAGGAGTTGAGTGACCAGAAGCTGGGGGAGGGAGTCAAGGCAGCAGATGGTGGGCTTCATATGGGTGATAGTGGGGGAATAGGAGGAGGGAGAGAAGGGGCAAAGAAGTGTAGTGTGGTAGGAGGAAAGAGTGATGAAGGAAGCAGCCAGATGGATGTTATCTATCTTAGAGAAAAAGAAGTCCAGGACCTCTTCGCACTTGGCATCTGAAGTGAGGATCGAAGGTGCTTGAGAGGGCGTGGGAAGAAGTGGTGGGTTGTGGAGATCAGGATTTTGGGTTGATTTTGGCCTCGAGAATGACCTGCGAGTAGAAGGCAGTTTTGGCATGAGAGAGAGAGAGAGAGAGAGAGAGAGAGTGGGGGTAGGTGTGAAGATGCTCGAGCCACAGGTGGCGGTGAACTGTGAGGCCAGTTTTGTGCCATCTGCGCTTGAGCAACTGGGTTTCTGATTTGAGGGAGCAGAGATGATCGTTGTACCAGGGTGAGCGGGTAGGCTTGAAGATGGATCTGATTTTCAAGGGGCAAGGGAATTGAAGGTAGAGCAGCTTGACTGCTGTGTTTAGATCACTGCGGTGGAAGGCTAGAGGGAGAGAAGATCCGAGGATCAAAAAGTTTTGCCCTCGTCAAAAGGTGACACCTTTATGTCAGATGGGTTAACCCCCTTGCACACACATGCTTAATGTCACATCTTTCAGTGAATCAGGAGGGGAATAGGAGCAATGGTATGTCATAGGTGTTTACTGGAATTAGTAAAAGAGCTGTCTCGCTGTATCACCGTGCACAGTATGAAATGTCAACTTTTGTAATTGTTTGTGCTTAAGATTACTTACAGGAACATGCAGTAAAGTCATTGCTTCCCCTTTCTTCAGTCCACCAGCTTCCACGGGAACGTGTTCAATCTTTCCACTTTGTGCAAAAAGTAGATGTGTGCCTGGTGGGAGTGGAATGACATCTGGTCTGGTCGTGGGCCCAATTACGACAGGAGGAACTACTGTGGCAAGACCTGTCAGAACAGCCAAAGAAACCAGATGGTCCATTTGAAAAGACCATATCATGTCGAGTTTAAACAAAGTACAAGTTAACTACTTCAGTGTATTTTCCTTAGAAATACAGAGAAAGTTTGGATTAAGGAAAAACGTAACAAAGTTAACATGTGGAATGCAGAGGTTTTCCAGCAGGAATGTCATCGTGATCTGTAATCCATATGTAATTTCATCGAACACTAAAGACATGGAATAAATTGACAATTACTGCGAGCAACAAAGAAAAACTATCAAAAACATAAAATTGAACTAAGCCAGACCAAAAATGGTATTTATCTATTCTCTTGTACACAGCTAGAACACGGGATACAACTAGGCGGCAACTGCAAGATGACTGTTATCCAATCAGAGATTCTTGTACAGTTAATTACATTTGAACGTTTTTCCATGTTTTAGGACATGTACGCACCACAGACATCAGATTACACACAACAGACCACCGGGTAGGGGTTGACAAGGTTACAAGGCACTTAAGGGGTTCAAGGTTGGACATCGTCATACACTGAACATGGTCACAAACAACTTTTTCTTAAAATATAGTTTTGTTTCATTAACATTTTTGGCGCTTTTTCCCTGGAGGTCTGATAAAGTTCATACATTCCACAGCTGCCAAGCCTTTCCCCATGTGTCAGGAAGAAATAGAACTTGCACAGCAGGAACAGAACACAGGCTGCAAAGTATTGGCTTGTGGCATCCAGCTACAAATGGAACTCGGTTATTAAATCAAAAAACTTTTCATGACATAAATACTGTTGCAATTAAGCATTGATAAATGGTTTTGGTTTTTAAGGAAACCACTACCTACAAAAATGTGTTAATAAGTTGTTTTTGTCAAGTCAATTTACAATATTATCAAACTGGCAAGCGGTAAGCAATTTTCTTTATGCAAGTTGAAAGTTTGGAAATGCCAATTTAGCTACATTTACTTAAAATAGCTTTCAATATGCTGCCAAAACAGCACAGAGAATGCTGTGACATTCATTGCCTTATAAGTATTTTTAAAAATCAGATCGTGATGGCAACAGTGCTGTGAATAGCCCTCGTCCCTTTTTCAAAATGTTATTCCTCACATTTCAGAAATACTACTGGCTTTTGTAAACATAGCGGGATCTAAAGAGAAAAGATCAGACTGTTGGGCAGCACTTTGTTTTCAGGCACTCTTCCATGTGCCTTTTAGCTGTGGTAAGCTCCCAGCAATGTTAGAAATGTGAAGCCTGAAGTGAGTCTGTATACTTCCCACTCCTCATTTCTTGCAGGCTGGAAAAAAAATCCCAGAATGCTAAAATTGGGCAACATACAGGACTAGAAAAAGATCACTGCAATCTTTCTGGCTGTTCCCAAGGTTTGAAAAATAACCTCGCCATTCACTAATGTTAATATTACTGCGTTCAGTTTCTGGAATAGGCTTTGAATGTAGCCTTGGAAAAGTGAGCCAGGTGCAATTTGCACCATGGTGGGTATGAACCTCATTGCTCTTGAAACCACCTTGTCCAGTCCAGGATGCGAGTGTCATACCTATTGTCTGAGGGCTGTTTATGCATCACGTTTGGCTGATAAACGGTTGCCAAGAGGACATTATATACACAGCTTTAAGAGGACGGCTGTCTTGCCAGCTGTGGACCAAATACTGATTATGTAGTAAAGCTCCTGGCAGGAATTATAGGCTCAATCACTAAGTTCCAAGTGACAGATTTCGCAGATAGTGTTATTTGGAAGAAAGGAAAGTTGGCTTGGAGGAGACTAACAGGAAACATATGGGGAGAGGAGGAAGGGGACAGATCTCCCTTCAGAACCAACAACCAAAAATGTTGTTAACTATTAAACTTCTTACAAGGATATCTGGAAACGTATTTTGTGTTATAAATACTGTATCAAAATTATAATCCTTTGTTCAAAAATGCTTCCAACTACTATGGCATCAAATGCATACACAAAATAACCCCGGTAAATGAATGTATATGCATCTCCAGTTCTAAAGCCGTATGAATTGCTCATATTTATTTCATTAAATTTACAAACTTGGTAACTAATAGTCGATAGGATTTCTGGTACTTACATGGGGGCCGGATTCCAGGGTGAGTCCTGGTTCCTGGAATCTCTTCACCATTCTTGTCCACACACCAGCAGATGGTTGTACTTTGATGGCATTGGGTAGGTATATAGTTCCCATTCCCATCACACTGAGGGATGTAGCGGGTAGGTCTGGGTCCTCTTGGTTCCGGGATTTCCAGGACACTGTCCCTGTGACGCTCACATTGCGTTGCCCCCTCTGAACCTATTTTTTTTTGCAACAGTACAAACAAGCAAGTGCAGGGATTGTAAGAACTGTTTTCTTAAAACCAGCATATGATAATAATAATATGGTAAGCTGTGATGCCCAGACAATCTTGCAGAGGTTGATTGCAGCAAAATTAGGTGATATTGATATATAAACTGGTGGTCACACTGACCTACTGAGCTTCTCCATCAGGAGATATCCGGTTTCCTGGCTTTGTCAATGTAGCCTCTGTACTGTCATCAGAAAAGCATGCAAGAGGGACTACTGCCTGCTTGATGAGGCAACAAAATACATAGAATCATGCAAGAGAGATGACCAAAGGTTTAAAAATAACTTCGCCATTCACTAATGTTGATATTACTGTATTCAAAGTTTCTGGAATAGGTTTTGAATGAAACCGTGGAAATTTTGGGAAAGGTGACCAAAAGCACGGTTGAAAAGATAGGTCTTAAATTGAACAAACAGGATTATCAGGATGTGGAATCTCATGCCGGGTTGTGTGGTCAAGGCAGAATTTATATTGGCTTATAAGAAGAAAACAGATAGAGATCCAAAAATTAGTAATTTGCAGTGATATTGAGAAAAGGCAGACAAATGAGGCTGAATGGATTTCTTTTTCAAAGAGTCACCAGAATTGGGTTGAATGGCCTGTTCTGTGCTATAAAGTTCTATGATTCTATTATGGGTGCAGGTACAATCCCATGTCCTACCACTCTGTGCAGTATACTGGTTCACCAAATTACTGTCAGCTAGTGCCTTAACTTCCTCCCCATCAGTAACCAGATAAATCGAGTACCACAATCATTTCTAGGTCAAATACATGAACCTTTACACCCCTGCAGTGAGAACTGAGGGCAGATGGACATCCATTAATATACTGTGGCAAGAGGTTCATTTTGCTATTACTGCAAGTGCATTCTTTCTGTGGGAACAAGACTTGACTGTTTGAGTTTACCGATTGTTTAGTCTGTTAAGGAAGACAGCTTGAAAAAACTGAAACCTGTCACACGTGACCAAGAAGTGGAACTGGATGGGAGAGGTCAAATGAATCATTAGTAACTATGGGGCTATTCTTCCAAATGCATTAATTGTGGAAATGTGGAATTCACTACCTCAAAAGGTTGTAGATGCCTGATCAATCGAAATATTTAAGAGGTAAACTGATGAGGGTGGGTAGATATATCAAGGAATATGGAGAAAAGGCAGGGCAATGGTATTAAATTGTAGATTAGCCATAAGTTGCGCCAATAGAAAAGTGTGGCCGTACTTTTTCTACGGAATCAGCTACAAACACGCTACAAAATCCCCTCCACTACAACAATGGATTGCCCTCCACAATGGCCTCCATGCAGGGGAGCATTTCAGAGCGCACTACACACCTGTACACACATTGTGTTAAGCCACGGGCCTCTGCGCTCTGTTTGCTCGACGCTTCGACTGTGGGTGGAGCGGCTCCGGTCGCACAAGCACGGGGCAGGGAGGGTTAAAATCGCGGAAGCCTCGCGAGTGGGAAATCATCTCCGTCCGGCACCCACAGCCTAAACTGAGCTCCTGCAACCAATTCTTGGTAAGTGCTGCACTATACACTATACAAAATAGTATTTTAAACATAACTACATGTTCATGAAATATGCCTATAGCTTTAATCCGGGTTGTTTCACAAAATGCATCTCTCAACAGCATCAACTCATCCTCCGCAGTTTTCCGCAAAATTTATCAAATTTCTGCAAAATTTGTCAAATGCCCCACAATTTTTGGCAAATATTTCCACATTTTTCTATTGGCCCAGGCTATAACATAGTTGAACAGGCTGAATGGTCTACTCCTGTTCCTATCTCCTTATGTTCTCAGCAAACCTGTTTTTGATTGGAATGTAGGGGGAGGGGAAGAGGATGAGAAAAAGCATTAAAGGGAGATTAAAAATCCCTACTCTTTTTGGAAAGCTTACAAGTCATACTTAGCGATTCTGGAAAACAATACATTGGCGTTGAAGAAGTAGAGGTACACAACAAGATTAATTAATCGCAACTCCAGTGGAGATCTGTTCAATGACCAGCAGAACATCACAGCCAATTACTGTGAATCCCATCACCTCCAGCTGGAGTAGAGGTCCAGTCAAATGGCCAAGAGGTATAGCACCATCAGATATTAAGAACAGAAGGTCAACTGGCCCATCAAGCCTGCTCTGACACATACCATTCCATGGCACAAACAAAACCTCCTCATTATATCCCCTAACATTTTTACCCACTAACTATCTGTCCACCTCTTTTTTATATCCCACAACTGACTTCATTTATAGATTCCGGAGGAGTGCATTCCACAACCACTACTTGTTGTTTCCAAATGATCTAATTTGAAGTACAACACTGCCTGGAGTCTAGACATGACACTCAACTGTGGCTGTTTTCATCTTCAACCTCAGTCTATACCTCAACATCAATTCTTGCCTGATACAATTACACATTCATCAAGCACTGAAGTTACTTTCACCATCCATAATGTACTTCCATATTCCTTAATTAAGGCTCAGAGTTCAATGTCCTGGCACATCACCCTTTATCGGTCAATGATAAACAAGCACTCACTTCAACCTGCTCAAACAGTCAATGGACCAGCCAGAATGTTAGTAACTGGCTACAGGTCATGTCTGTCAACATTGGTGAGCTTTGTGCAAGAGACAACTCCTCAGTCCTATAAAGACAACAGCAGGAGCAGGAAAGAGAACAAAGGGAAGTGTGGCTCACAACAAAGCTCTCATATATACTAGAAATGGAGAAGGAAACCTAAACAAGATGTTGACAAACTGCAATTCTTTAGACGTCAGTTTGTATAATGTAATTCGTGCTTTGTGCACCCAAAATACATCCTTACCTGTGCACTGGAACCCATCGCCCTGATAACCAGGCCCACACTGACAACTGAAGGATCCAGGAGTGTTGTAGCATTGAGCATATGGGTGGCATCGGTTTGGCTGGCACTCATCAATATCTAGAGAAAGACAATAGGCATTTATTTTAAAAACAAAAACAGAAGTCGCTGGGAACACTCAGCAGGTATTCTTTTTTAGGCATTTATTTTAATTGGTTACTGTGCAAGGATTCCTTTGAGCACATTTTCCCAAAGCCTCCAGAGCCTACCAAATGAAATTGCCTCCTGGTTAAAAGAGCATTTCTCTCTCAAAACCTACACAATTCATTTTATGTACAGGGCGATTCCATTATAATAAGACTCTTTGGGTTCAAAAAATAAATTATAGACACGTCACCACTGAGGTCACTTTCAGCACAGCCTACCCATCTTCCTGCATAATTCAAGAAGCCAGCAGGTCAGCCAACACTGCTCTTGAGCGTTTCTAGTATTACAAACAATCACAAGAGCTGCTTCCTGTGTCCTGCATGCCGTGCAGGAAGCCGGCCAGAGCGTGCGGGAAGCTGGAAGTGTACCACAATTCCACTGATCACGGGTTCATAGAAGATCCATATTGTAACTCACATCATGCTCCATGCTCTACCTTCTAACAGTTTCACCTTGTAATCACTTTGTCACCTTATCACCCAGCAACATCAACTATTCAATACTGCAAAGCTGTCTGGAGTATCCACAATTGTGCCAGAAAATTCATAGCTGCTTGAAATATTTGATGAAGGAAGAAGGGAACATTTTGCTAATTGTAAAGTATCTCTCTTGGTTCTACTTGGGTTAATTTTCATCCACAAGCCTTTCACAGTTGCTGTCAGTGGAAATATTTCACTACTAATTGCAGGATGCCCCAGGCGGGATTATATAGTGCTTGGATTGCTGTTATCTTTCTGTGTATAGTAAAGCATCTTTCCAGCTCACCTCTCCACCCCCCCAGGGGCCTGGGGCCTTTTTTAAAACATTCACATACTGGGAAATTATAGTTTTGCAACACTATGGCCTCAGCCTGACCTACAATTTGAGCCTCACTTCCGCGCCCCCACCCCCAACCCAGACCCTCCCAACAAACAGAACCACAGACAATGAGTCACGTCACTGTGTTTATAGACTGAACAGTTCTTACAAATCAAGTCAAATGGCTAATTTGTGCACTACCATAAAAGGGGTTGAAATCTCACTCGATACAAAAATTTAGCGAAACTGTTACACACTCCTTCTCTATAATAATCAGAAGTTACTGACCCAGCACAGTTTAAGGATTCCAGTTTTTTTTATAATTTGACAGATAATAGATTATTATTTTACTTCTCCCCCTGGATTTGTAGCAACATTTGGCTCCAAAATTAGCCAACTGCTAACAAGCAGGAAGCCAATGTCCCTGCAAGGTGCCCATCGGGAAGTGACATCTATGACAACCTTCTGACCCGGAAGGTGAGGCTAAGTAGGACAAAACGGTAAAAAAAAAATTTTAAAAAAAAGTTTAATGATGGGAATTCACTTTATTTGATTTGGAAAACCCAAATACCAATTTTTACTGATTCAAATTGGATAAAGGCAAGCGTAGCGTACAGGAGAAGTACATGTTCTCTACCGACAAAAATACAGCTACAATGAATTGAATATTACCCAGAGTTTACAAGATGGCTGTGTATCAGAGAACATAGTTCACTGCTTGAGACAGTAGTATTCTGACTGTGCCTCTTGTGCATGAGACAATACAACCTAAACATATTGGAACCTTCCTGAAGGCAGTATAAATATATTTCAGTGAAATATGTAAGACATGTGGAATTTACACTACAAGGAGGCAAAGTCAACATGATTAGAGAGCAAACATTTTTATTGCTTCTTCGACAGTACATGATTAAAAAGTTTAGGACTTAGACAATTGACTGTACTGAGTTGCAAAATAAATGAGAAATTACAATAGAACTATTTCACTAGTTATGAAACATCCGGACACCTTTGTGGCATTTACATTGAATGTGAATTCTCACACAGCAGCTTGCTTGCATGTTCAGTTGTTTGAGTTGTGTGTGACTATTTCCTCCCACTCACCGCCCCAAGGATGAAGAAAGGTTTATACAGTACAGCCACCAGAAAACTGCACTACTGCCCATAGTGGGCAAGTCTATCACTAGTCCAGGAATATAGCAACCATCTCAAGGACTGCAGATTTTATATTACCATAGCTTTCATTTGGCTATTTCCAGCTGTGTCTCAGCACCTCAGGAGGCGTTTACCACCTCATTTACCTGAAGTCAAGGCTGACGTCAGCAGCAACGCAAACACACCAATGGAAAACAAATAGGTGTGATAGACCCTGTGGTAGCTCAATTCCCAATGACTTTGGGGTTTTTTTGTGTTGGGGAAGAAAAGAGGTACAAAAGAAAAATAACTAGCACCTGTTGGATACTAATTCATAAATAAGGACCAATTGACTAGGACCAATGAAAGGGGATCAGGAGGTAGATAAAGCAGAAAAAACTGTAAAAGGATTTTTTTTAGACTGTTTGAATTTTGTAACTGGTGAAAATAAGAGTGTTCTACACATTATTGAGAACATAACAGCACCTTCAGAAAAGCATAAATGCAAAACTAGCAGTACACATGCATGCATGGGTACTCACTCAAACAGTTACTGCAGCAGATCTTTAAGCTTTTCGTTCACTTCAAATTCAATTTGACTGATCTACAATGTGAGTCTTCGGCCTTGCTGTTGGAATGCTGCTTAGTGCACTCATGCATCTGTTTTTTCAATATCAACACCCTCCTCCCACCTGAATGTTTTGCAACATATGGCTAAAGACATCTCTCCAAAAGTACCTGCTGCAATAGTAATTACAGATGTCTGAAGCCATCTTGTTAAACCCATAGGAATCAAAATACCATCAATTAACTCTTTTTGAAAGTTACACAGGAAAATCGGAGCAGGAGGAGTCCATTCAGTCCATCGAGTATGTTCCACTAGTTTATTTTAACTTTTCATCCAAATGTTCCACTCTTTTGCCATACCCTTCAATATCTCAACTACTCAAATGTTTGTCCATCTCCATTTTAAACATTCCTATTGGTTCCAGCTCTCAAGCTTTCTGGGGCAGAGCAACCCTCATCTTCATAATCTCTCTCAGTGAAGACACTAGCAGAGCTCAGATCCCACACTGCAAGTCTTGTGGAACTTGCCAGACATTCAATAACACTTGAGTTGCACTCGTACATTTATGATCAGGATTACATTAAAATGGATATTAACTTAGAGCTACATACCTTCACAGGACTTGCCATCTCCAGTGAAACCAGGCAAACAGGTGCATATGTGGCCCGAGTCACCAGTGTAAATACAGCGAGCCCGTTCTGGTGAGTCACAGCTGTGGATACCGGTCTGACAGGGGTTCACAGGCCGTTGAATCACTAAAAACACAGAATCAATTTTATTTAAGGAAACATTTCAGAAGTGCTCATTTTAGTGGAATTTTTTTTAAAAATTCTCCAACTTTTCTTCTCTCCTCTTGTGAAGATATTTGACTGCATTTCTCCCCCTTTCCCACTGCACAACCAATCTCCCTTTGAACATTCTAAAATGTTACCATTTAGATATTGAAGTGCTAAAGGCCAGTCACCCACTTATTTCCACAAAGGCATCATCTTGATGCACATTTCCAAGAAGGTTCCCCAATGACCCAGTGTATAGCAGCAAGTCCTAGACAGGAATAATGGGAACAAAAGGCTTCATTGTGGTGCAGTCTTGTTCTACAGGCAAGGGGGCATTTCAAATTACTTTAAGTGTTATGCTGAATGGAAGTTTAAGTGGCAGGAAAAGAATCACTTTCAAAGAACAGAAACAGTTGGCAGTAAAATCAATGACAAAAGAGTGAATGTCTGAAGATAAGAATGCACTCCACAGCTAATAGATCTGTAAGGACCCAGCTTTGCTGTTATCATTTCATTTTTCAAATATAGATTTTCCTCTATATACAGGCACTAGCCATTTAGCAGCGTCTTTAACTTGTGCCGTTGGCAGGAGCAATGCAAAAGTGCAACATTGACACTAGGCACTGCTGGATCCCACCATTCATTCGTCTTACCTGCAGGCCAGTTCCCTATTTCACCTCAATCGTGGGAATGCAGGTGCACTGAAGATATCATACACAATGACAACACTCCCTTCCCCGTGAGCTGTGTATATTTGGCGGTTGGCAGCATCCTAACCCATTACACGACATGACACTGAAGTGCCCTGCATGACTCTACCTGTTAGATGTCATGTCTCACAAGATTAGCCGCTTTCAGTCAGATAACCCCTAGGTGAAAGAACACAGCCTGGACAAAGTTGTTAGCCACTATCCAGGATCTACTAACTGAACAACGTCATCACTATTTTGAGCTTGTCCTTTAGACTGAAGCTACTTTTAGGACCACCACTAGTCTCATGCCTCCCTCCCATCCTCAGGAGACCAAAGTTAGGGTAGAAACTGGAATTCTCCTTCTACGTGGGAATATTCTCAATTATCCAAGTACACAGGTTCTTGACCTCTAAGTCTAAATTCCTCTTTTAGGAACATTCTGCCCCAAAAGGAATATCACCCCCAAAATTACAAGTGGACCATGGGGAAAATATGAATAACTTGGACGGTCTCCTTTTGTCATAAGATCTGGAGCGAGGGCCCATAAAGTCGGCTTTTATTCCGTATTCCGTTAACTGGCCCAGCAGCTGGTAGGTTTCTAACCTCATCACTGACATTTTTTTCTTGTTTGGCAAATTCAGGTTTTAGAAATTATTCAGGTAAAAATTGTTTCATAATCGACTAACTGAAAAACCTGCACACTTAAAGGATGAAAATCAATATAACAACAAGATTACATTTGTATAGCGCCTTTCATGTCGGGAGGATGTCCCAAGGCACTGGACAGTATACAGCATTTAAGACCCGAGCTGAGGTCAGGAAGGGGAGGGACCAATGGCATGGTCGAAGAGGAGGGTTTTGAGGCGGGACTTGAGGGAGAGTCAGAGTGACTGGGGAATGGAATTCCAGAGGTTGGGGGCAGAGTGGCTGAAGGCTCTCCCGGCAATGGTAGGGCAGGTGGTTCGGGGAATGTGGAGCAGGTTGGAGCCGGCTGAGCGGAGGGAGCAGGCGGGTTGGTAGAGAGTTAGGAAGTCACAGAGGTAAGGTGGGGCGAGGCCATGGAGAGCTTTGTAGGTGAGGACCAGGATCTTGAACTGGATCCTCTGAAGGATAGAGAGTCAATGGAGTCGGGCGAGAATTGGGGAGATGGGGCCGCGGAATTTGGTGTGGGAGAGAACACAGGCTGCAGAGTTCTGGATTATCTGCAGCCTGTGGAGGGAGGAGTTGGGAAGGCCGACAAGCAGGGCATTTGCATAGTTGAGCCTGGAGGTGATGAAGGCATGAACAAGAGTTTCAGCGGCCTGAGGGGTGAGGTAGTGGAGGAGTCGGGCAATGTTACGGAGGTGAGGGAAGGCAGAGTGGGTCATGGCTTGGATGTGGGGAAGAAGACAGTTGAGGGTCGAATAAGACACCTAGACACCTGACTAGCTTGGTGAGTTGAAGTGTGCAACCATGGAGGTTGAATCTGCCAGAGCCTGAGGTGCAGAGGCGCTGGCACGAGCCAATCAGGAGGGCCTCAGTCTTGTTCACATTCAACTGTAAGAAAAATTTGTCGTCATCCAGGTATAAAAGATACCAAATGATCCTTATAGGAAACCATTTATTCCTGAGGCAATAGATCCTGCCCTTTGTTAGAAAAGAGGAGGGTAGAAGGAGATTCCCACTTAGCTAGCTGCTCTGGTCTCCCTGCCTGACAGGCCTTTATCTCCACATGAACAAGGAGAAACCCATGAACTTCACTTACGAGCAAGCAAGGTCCACACAAACTAAGCAACTCAACTGATGCCAATTAACAACAATTGCTTGAGGGACACTAAATAAATGTAAGTTGTTGCCACTCTCGGCTGGAGACTGACACTTGTTTCCCCAAGTTACCAGCATTGTAAAATAGGCAATTCTTCATTGTGTGACCAAAGAGGATATGTTAATTCTGATAGAGAAACCTTTCGTCTTTATGGGCTATTCAGTATGGAAGTCATGAAATTGCAGACATTTTTACGTGATCTTGGGAGAACAATGGAACAACAAACAACTTACGCACGCAAGTTCGCCCATCTGCTGCAAACTGATAACCTGAAAAACATTCACATCTGAAGGTGCCGGGCTGATTGTTGCATTCTGCATGGTTTCCACAGATTGTTGAATCGATTCTGCATTCGTCAACATCTGTGGGAAAACACAGCAAGAAAGGATCAGCAAAACTCCTCAAATGGGTTGGCTGGCAAAACCAGTGCACAGTATGAAACTGAATCATGCTCAGACCTAGAGGTCCCAGGTTCACACCACAGATTATCTGATTTACAGAACACAGTCTGATATAAAAAAATTTGCTTCAGTACCTTTGGATAGACAGAGAAAAAAGGAAGCCCTTACTCTGGAAAATGCACGTAAGTAGACTTCAGGGAGGGGGAGAAGAGGAGATTAGGGAAGGCGAGACTAGAGGTGGGGAGATGGGGAAGGAGAAAGTACAAGGTTTGGCTGTGGTTTCCCCCCACCACACCCACACCCAATACAGTTACATTTATGCATGTAAAATGGACCATTGTTTGTCCTAAGAGTGACTTATACCCATGGAACTGTAACCCGGCATGAATCAGGGATGGCATCATTGGAGACATTATTATTAAGTTCCTACATTCTCCAAACAAAGAACGTATAGAAATTCAATCATTTAGTGATCATTTTGATCAGTGCCAAAATAAATTAAAAAGAGCAACTCAATATGGACCAAACCAATGGTACAAGTGCAAGTAATATTGTACCATTCAGTCCTCTGCAGCAACCTCATCAAATTGTGAGGCCAAATAAAAGCCATTTGGGATGTTTCAGTCCTTGCTCCCTGATATAAAACAAATCACTTGGCTCACGCATTCTTGCTGGCTTCAATTCCTGTTGCACAAACAAACAAGGGGAACGGTTTGGTTGGTATCGGGATGGGGTGAGAGGGGAGCAGAGAATGGGAACTGGCCTCCAAACATTGCCTTTAGAAATTTCAAAAAAAACTGAAATAAGGTTACAGAACCACAATGCGACAGCTGTAAATCACAGCTCCACAGTATAAAACACTGGAATGCATGTAAAACTGAAGTACTGAGCGGTGGTCTGGAAATGTCTGTACAAGAAAACTTCTTGCCTGTGGAATTATGCAACAAGAACTTGTGAACACTGGGATCAAATTTTATTGCCACTGGGGGACTGCTCAACATACCAAATTCATCTCAAACACCATTAATTCCGAACTCTTGTTTATGCACAACGCAATCTGTTAGCTCAGTAGCACAAGGGGCTACACAGTTTCACAGTGTTTCACAGAACCTAACATTATATATTGGAAGTGTCAAGATTAGAAAATATTTTGATCATTTTTGTATTCTCTTTCCAGAAATTATCAGATTCCCAGCAATCTATGACATCATTCCTGCTTGAAACCAACAAACACATCAATTTCAACATCAGCAAAATTAAAAAATAAATCACATACGATTCAGTGTTTCAAATGTAAGAATCAAAACCTTTTGCTTGTATGCAATGCATCTCAAAATCCAGTACAACATTAACTATAAAGTACTCTTAGAGAAATTCCCTCCTGCGGTGCAAGAAAGAATTATCCTTTAGGGTCCATTTCCACCACACATACCGTAGCTGCCTGGCTACTCCCTCGCCTCTGGCAACACGACTCTGTAATAATCAACCAGTCAACTGTAATGACTCAACCTCATAGGACATTCATCATGAGTAATGAGCCCATCAAAACCTTACACCTGGTTTGGAAGCTGCAGGGTAAGTTTGCTTGTTACATGCCCATTATTTGGACTTCACTGATGCAAATGGGGATGCTGCACACATATTAACTGCAGTACAGCACCAAGATTTCCAGATCCAATCGTTTTCCAGCAGAAAAACTTTAGGTGAAAGTAGGATGAAGCTTGGTTGATAGATCCTACATCTCTCTCTTTCCCACACCCCAATCCTATCACTACCACAGGTAAAATAGATTGAAGACACTCAGCTATCAAGGCTAAAACGTAAATCATCATTTGGGTGACATACAATATAAGACAGTGACTTTAGAAAAGGGGAGGAAGTCTACAAACACACAGTCACTACATTCTACAGATTAGTTGAAACCTGGTTTGAGATGTTTCGATGATGTGATAAGACTATCAAATACAAGAATTATTATTATGGTGTCTGTTATCAGATCTGTGGTGGGTAGCAGTAGGGATGTTGCAATTGGACTCGAGTTCCTGAGCTGTGAACGGGTGGGATAAAATCAGTCAGAGTAACAAAAAAACAGGTGTATTCTCTCTATGTTGTGTTGCTTAGTAGTAAAAACAATTCTGGTGCCACTACTACACAGGCAAGAAAGAAGAACATACTAGAATAGCTATTCACTATAATGCAAGTCCGTACTCAACTCAATCCATCTAGTTTATTCCCAAATAAGAGTATCCACTTGTAGAACTGATTATTCCCAATTATAGCATTATACCAAGTTCAACTGTACTGTTACAAGTGAAAGTACCAAGCTTTACAAATGAATACTCAATGTAAATTTTAGAAGTGCTCCCATATAACATATGGTATGCATAGTATGAATTACATTATAACACAAATTGCAGTGTGGACGCCATTCATTGCATACACGCACAGTCCAAACACTTCTAGCACGCCAGAGTTCTCTCGCATTGAATAACCGACTTCTGGGTCATTATTTAACCTTCCTGCTTTGTGCATGCAGAATACTGAGGAAGTGATGCTGACAGAAACCCGAGGACCTGGAAGTGGGCCTCTTTTTTTAAAAAAAAGCATGAGAACTGTCTGGCATGCAGGGATCGGATTGGCTAGCTGCACATGTGCAGTGAATGTCTATCGCGCCTCAATATAGAATGGGATTTGTAGATCCTAACCACCATGCTATAACAGGGCTCCAATGTGTGTGTTTCATGTGTATTATATATTATTTTCTTACCATAGCAGCTTATCCCATCCCCATAGAAGCCAGCAGAACATTCACAAACAAAACGATTTCCTTCTTCAGGCCGACATGCTGCATTTGTGTCACATCTATGGGTCCCAGTATAACATGGGTTCTGATTCATGTCACTTGAGTCATCTGTCAAAAGAGAGTTAAGAACATACCATAACACATAAAGTAACATTTGTTTAGAGCCTTTCATGTTCATAGAGCTTCACCGATATCAGTCTGGTTTAGATACAGGTTTGGCAGACACGCGCTGACCCAAAATAAATCCATTAGCCTCAGTAAAGCATGTGGCTATCTAGTTCTTGTCTGCTTCTATTGGTAAATCTATTTCACTGGAGGGAAGGGGGCGGGGGGAAATAGAGGATCATAGAACCTTAGATCTTTATAGAACAGAAACATGAACCACTTAATCTAATACCACTCTATTGTTTGCTCTTCGCACCCTGTAATATTGCTCTTTTTCAAACACTGAGCTCAAGTCTCACTTTTTTTGTAAATAACAGAATAACATTTGCTCTCCTCCAGTCTTCAATGTTTACTCAGCTCCTGAAAATATTACCAGGGCCTCAGGTATTTCCTCAAGATCCTAGGATGTACCCTATCTGGTCTGGTTAATTCTCTACTCTGGCCTGGTTAAGATTCTACTCCTCCCCCACCTTTATCATACTGATACCCACTTGCACTAAACACATTCCTGAAACCCAAAAAGACTGGATCGAAGGAATACGAATTTCAATTTAAAATGAGCTGCTTGTTTCAACCTGCACGATCTACACCTGTTTTGAAAAAACACCTCACAGGCAGACCACAGAGTCTGTTACAAGAACCTAACGCAGAATAAGCCATTTTAGCATTTGACAGGGAGAGTTGCTCCTGCGAGGAAACAGAAAAGTCAGTTGTGGCATGCAGACTCATATCCGCAAGACCCTGCTCAGCATTTGAGAATATGCCAGCAGACAGCTGTTGCCAAGTTTACAGTTGTGGCCAAGGATTTGGTCCAACCTGCTAATTACATCCATCGCACACATTTACAAAGATAACAAGCGGGGGGCAAAATAATGTAAAGCCACATTAGTAAGGAAAAATTAACTCTGTGGTTCTCTGGGAAAAAAGCTTTGGTTGGTTGCCTTAACTAAATCTCTAGTACCATTACTATAATTATATTAATCAGAGCAAGTCCTATACACAGACACAACCAGATGATCAGCTCTCTTCACATTGTCTTCAGACTATTTGGGTATTGTCTATATTGCTGCCCGCTAGGCTGATCATACACTCAGTGTTTAGATTCTTGGCATGTCAAACATCAATGCAAATCATATACTATTGCATGAAATCAGCACTAAACTGGTCCATTCCTTTAAGGTTAGCACACTACCCATCAGCAGTGACAGCGAATGAAGAGGCGGTAGTTTGACATGTCAGTGCTATTTAGACAGCACATCTGGGTTACGTCTTTTCAGAGCTCACTTTAAATACAGCCTGTGGGATCACCTGATGGCTCAGCAAATTTAACCAGTGAGAGGCTGAGCTGTGCAGACGGAAGGTGCCATGCCTGCTCATACCCCACTCCTTTGACCGCCCCTTCGCTCAGCTGGCATGCACCTGCATTTCCCCGACTCCTCTTCTCCACCATCTGTGACCGAGCCTTCAGCCACTGCGATTCTATCTTCTGCAACTCCCTGCATCAATCCCTCAGTCTTTCCCCTCTTTATCCATCTTTAAATCCTACATTATGATCAATTTCTTCAACCATGTCTATGGTCACCTCCACCTCCCTCTTCTCCCAGCATCCAACCCGACCACTGTGCTACGCTGTGAGACCCCATACTGCGTGAAAGACACTATAACTGTAAGTTTTGGGGTTCAATCCTGTTCTGCAATGATCGTATTCCAAGTAGCATATGGGAAGCTATGGGAAGTTTATGCTGTGCAAGGAGGGCACTTTGTACTGACAAGATTGGATTTGGCTACTCCTCCCACCACACACACCCATCCATGGCCTTCGGAAGAAGTGAGTTTATTTAATAAATAAGTTTGCTATAAAACTCAAAAGTATATTTTCAGGAAATGTGGTTGGAGTCGCAGAAGCCAGCAGAAAAGATAAACATGATCCTACACCTAGCAAGGTCTGCTTTAAAAGAAGTGCGACAAGGTCCAAACTTGTGAGGAGAATGATTTCAGGCGATCTTCAGGTTACAACCCTCCCATTACTAACACCTGTGCTCAGCACACAGTGCCCTCCTCTCTGTATTGTCTTCACATCCCAACAATCAGATCTTCAACACATAACTGGTTTTATAGCAGATACATTTCCCCCGCAAGCATTCAATGCAAATTTCCTACCAGCAATTATGAGTTGCATTAACTAGGGGGCAATAAATGTACACCTGGTGCAGAGGCACCAATGACAAATTAAGCTGGAACTATTGCACAGGTGATAGTGAAACACATTGCTGGGCAGTACAGGAAGATAGAGGCCTCAGGCCACTGTGTGCAGTCCAGCAACGTGTTCCATTTCCCCCACCCACCCCCACTCCAGCCAGAATATACCCACAAAATAGTCAATTCACTTTACAGTATATTCTGTGAAGTGCTTTGAGACATCTCAAAATCTTGATAAGGAGCTATATCAAATGCAAGGATTATTATGCCACTAAAGTCAGTGTTTGCACATTGTTCTGCTTGAAGATGTGCTGAGAAACTGCCTTGAGGTAGGTTCTGGTGACTTTTGTAGACAGCAGCATTGCTTCAACTATCTTATTGCTCTGCTGATGGCAGAATATAGCCAGGACAGCATTAAAAGCAAGTCATCTAGTTCCAAATGATCTATTACAATTTTCAAAAGAATATCAGACTTCCTCTACATCTGCAGATGTTGAACTAAATGACAATTTGCCAATTCCTCATATCCAGGCTCAACAGCTTCTTATTTGGGAATACAACACCCCTTCCTTCATTAAAAAGGCTGCTATGTTTCTTTATCACAAGACGCGTCTCTGTAGCTTCCTTTCCCAGAGTCTCCCCAAATGGTACAGGATGCCATGCTGGAATCAGATTGAAGCCCAGACATAACTTAAGCCACATGTGCTGAATGAAGTTGAAGTTATTTAATTTGTGCTTCCCTACGGCCAGATGTGACCACCAAACCACCAAACCCAGCGGCTAAGTTTTCACAGACAAATATGAGTGGGATCAATTGCAAAGCATATCCACAGGCATATCCGAGGTTACATGATCTTCAATAGTCATGTTCAGAGCATCCTGGTGATCCAGAATGACGTGAGCACTAGTGCTCAGTGAGACACAGAATCCCGAATCACCACTCTGCTCAATTCCTGGTCTGTCTAGCAGAGAATGTGGTATCTCACAACAGGGGATGAAGAAGAGAGAGGAAATCAGATAGCCTGAGTCAGTCTGTGTTACGCTAACATTCCTCTTAACAGCTGGCCAAAGAGACATTGTCAGATGTGTGGGAACAGGCCACCCATCTGCTCTCTCAGCACAAGCCTGAGCAGACTGAAGAACAGGAGAGAGGTAACTTAGCAGTTACTGGTAACATTTTTAAAGTACAAAGGTTTTCTGCCCAAGTATTATTTGATCCTCAAAAGAGACTTTAATATGTTTTCTGTGTTGCTGATGTTACAGTGTGCTTTAATTATGTGGCGTGCCGACCCATCAAAAGCCTGTGGTTAGCAATTTGGCTGTAATCATAGATATGTGTGTGCGAGTGTGTGGAGGAGGGTGGGAAAGAGAGGTTAAAGTAAAACAGTGGGAAAGAAAAACTTTGTAGCACAATAACTCTATATCACAGCATCAAATTAACTAATAACCTCAATATTTTCCCATTTTACCAGAGGATTCTTTCTACAAATCGGGGACTTTGTAGTAAAGACATCATATTGGACAGGGTTGATTTTTTAATAGTTTGATGAGGTTCTCCCCCTTATTAGCGCTGAGACTACAGCTCAAGATTTGTATCTAATCCCCTTCGCTTTTGAGATCAGTCTTGTTGCTCTTTTCTGCACTTGTTCTAGTGAAGGTACCTTGCTCAAACCAGGAAATGTCAACCCTTAACAGCAGGACAACATTAAGAGTTCTCTGTAAATAACTGACAGGACACTCTCAGCACCGAATCAGAGGAAACTAAGAAACTTCTCCAAATCAAAAAACAGACCATTCGCCTTTCCCTTGTATCGCAGACTTTGCAGATAATTTCTAAGACAAAAGTAACCAGCCTCTGCGGAAAAACAATTACAAATCAGACCGTGGCTTATGTGTACAATATGGCCACAAAACATTCAAATGGTCAGATCGTCCACAAACATCCTGTGTGGTTTACTTAAACTGGCAATCTAAAACATAGGGGTTATTTGCATTACTAATAATAATCCTTGCATTTGATATAGCACCTTATCATTTGCAGAGGAATAACAGGAGTTTTAACTCAAAGATACCCTGCTTTAAACTGAAATTGCTTTCATGGTTCTCCCCTTCAATTGTTCCATTACAACACGATCCCTTGCTCCCTGGGAAACTTGCTTGGACATTTGCCCAACGAAGAACAGACAGAAGACATCATGCTGGGTTTGTAACGTGGACCCCATAAAAGGACTAGAGTCCAAGTAACAAGTCTCTATCAAGGCTTCCATGATTTGTGTGAAACATGAAATATCAAAGTCTATAAAGCTGGGTTCACCTTTTCTGATAAATTATTTCATTTTGACGAAGGAACATTCAACACAATTTTACCGTTATACAGCACCTTTCATGTTGGGAGGTCATCTCAAAGCACTTAACCCTGCTGTCTGAGCACCCGAACTGGGGATGGAAACTTATAATAATCTTTGCATATGATACAGCACCTTATCATGTCTTCTAGACGTCTCAAAGGGCTTCACAGAATATATTGTAAAGTGAATTGACTGTATGTTTTGTGGGCGAATCGCAGCAGTCAATTATGCACAGCAGTGTCCCACAAACAGTCGTGGATTAAGTGGCCATTATAAATTATTATTCTAAACATTTTTTTGAAGGTATTATTACCCCTGGAAAAGTCTATCGACTAACAACCGGGTTCCTACTTACTGCTAGGTGAACAGATGCATGAAATAAGGAAACTTGCCCGGGAATCGAACCCAGGTCTTCTTGTTTGTGAGGCGAGTGCTCTAACCACTAAGCTACAAAACTCCACAAACTGAAGGAGAAAGGGAGGGAAAGGATGACCTGAAACACAATCGAAGACGTACATCTCATTGAACAACGTGAGGTATTTTGGAAAAAACAGGTATTTTAACATGGGTATTTTGAAAACAATTAACTTGGTGAAAAATTTAAATAATTGTACAGTAAAACTCACACAAGTCATATCAATCAGGACCATAACATTTAATATAACTTAATCAAGTTTGCCTGTAACTCGTATTTCACTCAAGTCGCATAAAATTTGATTTAATCATTAATCTACACTGTACAGGCATACTTCAATGCAGCTGGTAAGTGTGCAAGCCGTGATGGGACAGAACCTAATTTCAATGCAGCCAGTGAATGTGGTAGTGGAGTTATGAGTGAGGAGATGATTTTTTGGTTAAACCCTAACAAGTTCCAGATTATCCAGAATTCCAAGCCCATATCCTCTCCTATACCAGGTTCTGTGAGCCCATCACCCACATCATCGCTAGGCTCCACTCTGATAACTCAGGCCCACCTGCCATAAATCCTTTGCCCTCTCTGCGCCACCATTGGCAGGCAATTTACAGCCACTTTACCTCCACCCACTGAAACTCTCCCTACAGCCTCACAAACCCCCTCTCTGCTTCTAAAATTCATCTAAGTGCAGGGATGGAAGCTGCAACCTTGCAGTCTCTTTCACCTAGTGCTGCACTAAGTGGTTCCTTTACCTTCTAGGTCACTAGTTTAGGTTTTAATGTCTTGCAAAGTGGCAGCGTTCATTTCTGCAACAAATCTGTCTCTGGTTAATGGGAATACTGATACAACAAGTATGAACAAGGGCAGTTATAAATCTGAGGTCAGCACGACAAGAGAGAATTAATTCAGAAAAAGACATTTCAATCCTGGAAATTTAATTCAGCAGATACAGGCATCCTTAATCCTATTCCAGTTGCTGAGACCCAGGTTACTAGTCACATATACAGCATTAATACTTTTCCAATATGTATTCAGTTTCTCTGACCAGATAAAATCATATCTACGTTGCAACTATTGGGATTGCCTGAATAAAGACAGTGACGGGGTTATTTTGCTTTGGGCAGATAAGGATTTTCACTGGATTGATCGATCGAAGCCAGAGACAGGAGGGAACAGTTCTCACAGCCAGGACATTGTCCGTGTGTAGCAATGCAGAAGACAAACTGTGTGTTGAGTTTCAGTGGATCTGCTAAACTATTGTTCTACCATCCATTCCACACTGATCCGCCTAATGCAGCTTCACAATTACATTATCGCGAACTGAAACACGGCCCATCCAGCCCAGATTCCCAAACAAGTGGATAACAGAAATTCTCAGGGAACCGTAATGTTCACCTGAACAGGCAGAAGGGATGATACTTCTGAAATTGCAGGGCACCTTTAGCACTGACTCGAGCATAAGCTAGACTGAGTTCAAAATCCTGACATGGGCTTGAACCCACAGCCTTCTGAGGATTGAGTGAACAATTTATTATTATTTTCTTGAAGGAATTATTACCCCCAGAAAAGCGATCCGCCAATCGACTAACAACCGGGTTCCTACATTCTGCTAGGTAAACAGAGGCGAGTGGCGTAAGCAACAAACCTGTCTCAGGTTAGTAGGAAGACTCCCGGGAATTGAACCACTTGCGAGGCGAGTGCTCTAACCACTAAGCTACAAGTCTCCACAATGAACTGCATACTTCAATCCTCATCTCCTGCTCGCTCCCCTTAACTCTATAATTTTTTTTCCACAACATCCATCTAGTTCCCTTTAAAATAAAATTTATCAACTCTGCTTTTGTTGGCGTTGTGACCAGAAGCGTGCTCCGCACACCCAAGTCCCAGAATTTATTGTCGTCAATTTGTCAGGTCGTGGAGAGGCTGGTTGCAGAACAACAGAGATGTTCAGTTTTTCAGGGTTTAATTAACTAAATATTTAGCATAGACTTTCTGGCTTAAATAACCTTACTGGCTTCAGTCCAGCCATCCATACAAGCTTTTTAAACACTGGCTATCACGAAGCCAGTGATATGTAGGGTCACAATTTAACACAGAATTTATTTGTTGAGCAACTTAAAATATATGAAACCCTGCTACCCTGTGTGAGGGGGCTATATAAATACAAGTTATTGTTGAAGAGTCACACTCATGCACTGGTTGATAATATGAAGATATTAACTGGCCACATTCTTCAGCGATTTACCAAGTAGAGCATCGCAGAGCATTGCAATTTTACCGTAAACATTTCACCTATTTCCAATACACCTTGTGGCACTTTGACCAATTCTGCAAGTTTAGGTCCAATTTTAGCCTGCTCTTCAAAAGCAAAATACATTTCCAGGGAAGGGCATCTTTCCAATTAGGAAAGCACATACATCTGGGAATTCCCTCCAACAAGCTGACAAGGAAGAGACGAGAGGAAACTCCCTTCCCAGATTTATGTAATGGGCCCCAGCAATTTCCTCTTTAGATGGTTTGGGGATTTAAGGATTCTGAGAAAATACTGTACTGTGGAAACATTTAATCATTAAGGTCTATGGGGAAAACTACTCAACAACAACAACAGGCATGCACACACACATCATTAACGTACAGCCTTAGACATAACAATCAAGAAAGACTGCACACAGGGCACACGAGGCTTAATTATGCATTTTGCTTATTGAGACACCTAGGTGAGGGGTTGGGGAACACTAAGGTTGAAAAGAAGATACTGAGACTTCAAAATGTAGTTAAGTGACACTAAGCTTGAGATTGAACTCTCAAGATCCTGGGAAAGATATCTTATTTGGAATCAGGTATCTGCAAAGTGGGGGTTGAGTGGAGGAAGGAAGTGAATCAATCATTCATCAGCACTGGCTCTCTGTATGGGAGATCGGGAGGGAAAGAAGAACATTTTCAGCATACTCACTGCCCCAATAGAAATTTGCAACAAACTTGTGGGTAGAAAGTACACAATTTTGGTGACCAAATGCACAGAAGATCCACCACTTAGTTCAAACATCATGTGCCAAGTTTAGCTAGAAACAGCTATTCACAGCTTGAGCTCTCTACAAAGGTGTCAGTTTGAGGAGTAAAAAAGTCCAGTAGCTATTGTGGAGTCCTGTAGCTCAGTGATAGACCTGAGTTCAATTCCAGGCAGGGCGAAACCTTGGGCAAGTTTCCTTACTCCACACGCCTAATAATAATCCCTCCGAAAACAATAATAAATTGGTCATTTTCAATCCCTGACTGTTTGTGGGACATTGCTGTGCGCAATTGGCTGCCGCATTCGCCCACAAATATAGTCAATTCACTTTACAGTGTGTTCTGTGAAGCGCTTTGGGACGTCCTCCCGACGTGAAAAGCGCTATATCAAATGCAAGGATTATTATTATTATATTATTATTAATAGTTATCAAAGTTTAATGGGTTGGATTAAAGAACTGTGGGGTTCTACTGTCAATATTTAGAAGGACAAACTTGTAAGTGACTTTCAACAACCAGCTAAGAATTTCAGTATTTTACAAGTGAGAAGCCATCACTGCAAAATTGTATCATATAGTTGTACACAAGTGTACACAGGTGTATACACAGGGCAATGCATAGCTCCAGACAGGGCAATGCATAGCTCCAGGCTGGGAAACGGCCCTAGGATGGGCCCTCAACACTGAGAAAATAGCTTTAAAAAGTGAACCCAAAAAAACCCAACCACTATTCACAAAAGATTGTAGAATCCTAGAATGTTATAGCACAGAAACAGGCCATTTGACCCATCAACTCTCTGCTGGTATATTTCTCTGCATGAGCCACCTGGTCTAACCGGTCTATAAATACACAAATCCATATTTCACAGTAGAATCTTGTGAAGGGTTTTAAGACATCTCGACAATATGATAAGGACTAAATCAAATGCAAGGATAATTTACACTCAATTATAATCCCACTCTTCATCTCACACCCCCATATCTTTTACTATTCCTCCTCTTCAAGCCACTAACCAATTCCCTTTTAAAAGAATTTATGAACCCTGCTTCAACTCCGGCCTGTGACAGAGCATTCCATCGTCCACCCACTCACTCACCCGCTGTGTAAAGAATTCATTTGATGACCCCTTCAATCTCAGCCACCCAGAACTGTAATGTGCAGTATTTCGAAAACAAGTATCATGGTCAAGACTGAAAGTACCTCGGACTGGCCCGATCTTGTTGCTCATCGCGTATCGGAGTATCTGCTCGTTCCGGTCGTATAGTACGAAGGTGCGATCTACAGTTAGCTGCTGGGTGGCCGGCATGACCCGCGTGGCATCATCATGGATACAGCTGTGGAAGCTGATGGTCTGCTTCAGCTGAAAGGAGCGTTCCTGAGTGGCTCCTCCAGGAGGCTCGATGGTGTACTGTACATTGGAGGACGTCATGATGGCTGAGAGAGAGGGGTTGGGGAGGAGAAAAACAATACGGTGAGGAATTTTGATTTGTGCAAAACTAAAACAACCCCAGGCCATGAGCAAGCGTGTGGTGCACTTATAGGTCAACGCTATTCCTGCCAATTTGTGGGCAGCCCTGGGAGCTGCCAGCCAGCCAGCCAAGCTGCCAGTAAAAGCCCCAAGTGGCAGAGGACCATTATGACTTTCACTTCAGGGTTGTTTTGGGCTTTCAGCCTTTCTGCCTCCATCCCACAGTTACTTTGCCTCGCTCCCTCCCTTGCCTCCTTCAAGGTCCATCTCAAGACCCTCCTCTTCGACCATGCCTTCGGTCACCCTCCTACCCCTACTGTGGAGTCCTGTAGCTCAGTGGTTAGAGCACTGGCTTTGCAAGCGATAGACCTGGAAGGCAAAATTGTGGGCAAGTTTCCTTTCTTCACACGCCTGATAATAATCCCTCAAGAAAAAAAACACAATAATAAATTGTCACTTCAATCCACGACTGTTTGTGGGACACTGCTGTGTGCAATTGGCTGTCGCGAAATATATTCTGTGAAGCGCCTTGAGATGTCTAGAAAACATGAAAAGTGCTATATCAAATGCAAGGATTATTATTATTACCCTTACCTGCCTGCCCTCCACCCTTCTGATCCTAACCCCCAGCTTGGTGCAAATCCGTGACTGTCCAGCACCTTGGAACTTCCTCCCAATGTGAAAAGTGCAATCAAATGTAATTAATTGTTGTTGTTTGTGGGGTGTTGGTGTGCGTAAAGTTGACTGCACATTGCAGCAGTTCCTGTGAAGCCCTTTGAGCTATCCTCCTGACCTGATAGGTTCTATATCAAGTGCAAAGATTATTATATTATGATGAATGGATTGCCACAATGCACAGTCTCAATGGTGGGCATTTATGGCAAGCCACATTATTAAAAAAAATCTCTGAACTTATTAATATCTTGCGGAACGTGATGCAGTGCAACTTTTTCAAAGCTCAGACTAAGTTACACACTTCACGTACTTTCCTTAGGGTTTTTTTTTAAAAAACTGCTGGGATAATTTTCAAAACTCAAGACGCATCAAGACATCTGCTGGCAATTATTTGCCAGCATTAAACAAACACAAGAGGTACATTAACCCTGCGAGTCCCATTTAAGGAGTGGAGATAGGGTTGCGAAGAGAAGTAAACAAACCCTTTACTATTACACAGGAAAAATGAACTTAATTATTTTCAAGATTCTCACTCTCTGCTGCTCCTCTTCTCCCCAACACCCCCACGCCACCCCGGCCCACCTGCTCACTGGGCAATGTGTAAAGTCTTGTGAACATGGAGGAGTGATATGGCATCTGTTAAGCAGAGTTTATTTAAAAAAATATGAATAGTTTTGCATTTTGTACTCGATTTCCAAACTGTCCCAACACAAAGGATAAAATCTCTTTGTGAATACTCCCATTGTGCACTGTTCAATAGCTGGAGATTGGACTGTGAGGTTGAATCCTAACCTTGACTCGGGGAGTACATTATAGCCAATGATAATCTACTGTTCAAATCCAGGCAACCTTTGTGGGGAGGGGCAGAGCGTAAGGGATGGAGAAAATGCATTGATACAATTTACTTTTTGAAATAGCATTTGTCACGTCTGGGAAGACATCTCAAAGAGCTTTGTACTGCTGACTGAAAACCCAGGGAGTTGTGTCTTAATGGGGTCAAAATGGCTGAGATCTCGCCGGTCAATGGCAATATCTTATTTAAACCAAAATTCTCCTTTTCTAGGTTTGTGATACTGCTGCAGAAATAATGTTTAGGTCAAAGTTGACAGTGGTGGAGTCTGACAACAAGCCAGGGGGAGAGGGAGTGGGGAGGTGAACATAAGCACGATCAAAAATTAAGGTCTTTAGTCGAGATTTTAAGCTGTGGATGGAGGCGGCAAGGCAGATGGATTGAGTTCCAGAGTTTTGGGGGATAATGGCTGAAGACACGGCCAATGATGGTGGAACGGAGGGCACAAGGAACAAATAGGAGTCCATAACCAGCCGAGCGGAGGCAGCCAATGGTGGAGCGGGGGATAAGCGGGTTGGATGGGTAGGGAGGTGCGAGGGAATTAAGTGATTTGAAAACGAGCGACAGAATGTTGAAATCGATCCGTTCAGTGATTAGGAGCCAATGGTGTGACTGGTGTGTTTGGGGTATGAAGATTCGTGCGGGTGAGTATCCGGGCAGCAGAGTTTTGAGTTTTATAAATACTGTGTTACTCAAGTTTTAACTGCTGCAACAAAACCACTGTGCTTGCTTACCAGAGCTGGAGTGATGGTACAGTTCATTATATGGCTCAATGTGCACGGTTGATTCAGCGGGAATATCAGGCACCCGCCCTTCCAGGGTAGTAGCAATGGTGAGGTGGTGGTGCTCATCAATCCCACTGAACTGTTGGGTGATAACAAGCTTCTCATTACCAGGAGAGAAGGTGACCTCTGCTCTACGCGTGAACTCGCCTCCTGTCAAAGACAATGCATCAGTCAGTCTGTGCCCACCCAATGGCATGCATCACATTTTCAAGGCAATTCCACTGTAAAACCACTAATTGACGAAAAAGTCTACGATGCAGTTTAAAATCACAAGGCTTCCTAAAAATGTTTGAACAATGGAAATAATGCTGGTTAGTTACCATGCTGGATCAAACACTATCTGGCAATCATCAGAATTTACACAACTTGGTCTATAGTTGGATGTTGATGAACACATTGAGGACTGCAGTCAAATTTCTACACAAACCACTTTCAAGTAATTGTTTGTTGGATGTCTACCCATATGTCAGAACAAAATATCATGAACACAAAATACTATGTACATATGATGTTCGGGAGGGAGGGAAGAGGGTGGTGGGTGGGGGTGGAAAGAGGAGCAGAAAGGAAAAGAGAAAACCAGTCTTAAATAATGCGCATCTCAATGTACCAGGTTAAATGTATACAACTTGCTAATTATAAAGCACCTTTCAGATAGTTATAACGGCTACATTGCACATTAGCTGACAAAATGTTAAATGGCAGAAAAACGTTGCCATCTGTAAGCTTTGCATATGCTGGACTTGAGGGTCAGCTCAGGAGCATTAATAGTGGAAGTTGGCATCCTTCAAAAAGAAAAAAACAGGAATAGTTCCAACCAACTTTCAACATTCAATTAAAACTTCTTCATAAAGATTCCCATTGGGATTGTAGAAATTACTGGTAAAGTAGCCTGTTCCAAGTGGAAAAATGAAGCCCATAGGTGCAAGCTCTTGGTATCCAGCATGTATATACTTTGTGAATAAATCTGTCTTCGGTTTGTCTCCAAGCGTCTATTTTTTCCTCTCTCACTTCCCGTCTCTGTGCCCCCTTTCTATCTCATCTCACTGTAGAGTGTGTGCGTGTGTATATGTGCGCGTGTTTATGCGTCTCAGTTAGTACAAGTGTCATGCTGCCCAGCTCTCTGTGGAAAGTGTTTGAGACACTCCCAGTTTGTGTCTTTTCAACATTCATCATCACATGCAAGAATCAGAAGGAAAATGAATTGAAGTGCGCAGATGGAAGTCGCCTTATAGTGCTCATGGTGGGAAGTGGCGATTGCTGATCAAGAATGACATGGTGCAATGATTGGTTCTTGCTCACCCCCTCCACTTCCCTTCTTCCAGCATTGCCTCAAACGTGCACCATCCACAACAGGAAACAAGACACGCTGAAGCTACACTGTGTGCCGGACAAGTGAGCAGCTGTGGGGATCCGGAACAAATGACTGCCCTCTGCAGTGAAATACTGTATAAATTCACCCCTCACAAGCACACTAACCATCCACACTTTGGGCAGATTAAAGTACTGACCAACGATACTGAATCCATTTTCATAGCCAGGCTGCTCCAGAGCGAACATCCAGCCAATGATGCTTCCCACTGACGAGAGAGGCAGCAGTGCCCAGCCCAGAGCCGTGGGGATTCTGCTGATAGCAGTGTATGACCGGCCATCATTCACCACCACGTATGAATGGAGATCAATATCCTCAATCTCCACGGGCACTGGGCTGTTACCTACAAAGATCTTGCCATTCACTTTGCCATTCACACGTTGTGGGGATCCTAGAAATGAATAAATGAAACCGTCACAGGGATGACAGAGTATCTTTCCTTACCCCTCCCTCCTCCGCCTCTCTTGAAGCCACTGACTCAAGCTGGAATCCAGTTGTAGGGTATATCTCACTCTCAGTATTTGGTTCAAACGGCCAGACAACATGTGTGAGCTCAGACAGTGAGTACCATTGCTCTGGGACGTTACCCTGCGAGAAGGATGCTGTATAAATGCAAGTTGTTGTTGCACCAACAGATTGTTCAGCCGTGAGAGTGAGGATGGACTGAGTGGGGGCATCTCAACCTAGCCTCACACATTCACAGGTGGGGGTGGGTGGGGGGAATCACTCTAATCTTCTATCTAAACACATTTGGGGATCAAAACTGAGATCCTTCTGTGATCTGTATGGCTGAGGTATCCATTGATAGTGGTTCTTCAAACTAGGCCATTGGATTCCTTCCTTTACCGGGAAGGCACATCTACATTTCAATTATTTTGACTAACGAATTCATGCAAAAACGATTTTAAAAGTTTTGAAGTGTAAAATTTCTTTTTGTCAGTGTATTAGAAAATGGCTCATGGCCAGATTTATCTGACAGCAAGCATTGTGATACAGAGCACAATAACTATACTAGTTAACGTACATTGCAACTGGACAAAGATCACACTGGTCATAAAGCTTGGCCTCAGGTCATCACTTTTACAGACCTCTTTGAATAGACAACTCAGTATACGCCCCGATTTTAGCAACACGTCTCCTTCATACTGTTTTTGCATCTTCTTCACCAAATCAAGAACAGAGTGGAAGAAAACATAAGTCCATTCATTGCTGTAAGGTTCAGCTTCTGACCCTTGTGCACTGAGCAAATGCCCCAGCACATAGTGGCAGGACTCAAGAAGCACAGCACTATGGTACAGATTGACATTGAGTGGGAGAACGAAGGAGAGTGTACAACATTTGCGGTGCTGTTCATTCAAACTACACAAGAAACATTTCTGCTCTAGTTTCTAACAATGCTCTTTAGTGTTGCTGAACTAGGAAAACTTTCTGAAGCATTAGTGGCTCATACTGTGCTAAAGATGAACTTTTTAAAACTTTGGTATAGTCATTAATTTTATGTTTGAGCTGACATTACATTTTTCTAAAGGAAGGATTGAAAAGTCAAAACCAAGATGAATTTTACCTTCTGCTACGCACTGTTTGCCATTCCCATAATAGCCAGGACTACAATGGCAACAGAAGCCCTTTGGATAGTCCTTACACTGGGCATGATTGGAGCACACGTCCCGGCTAGAAGCACACGTTTGTTGTCTCTCTGTATTATATGTAAATACTAGGGAGAAAAATAAAATATTATACAGTGAGACAGACCAAGGGGGAAAACCATAATAGCATCTTTGGCAGATGTCCGGTTGCATTAAACCCACCGCCCCCTCCCCAACGTACGAATAGTGTAACTGTAAAACGACGTGGACGTATTTTTGGGCGAAATCAGCATTTAATCAGAATTTGCACACAAAAAAAAACTTCAAAATGTGCAGTGTTGCAATTAGTTTTAATGCATCTGAAGATACCACTAAAAGGTCAAAATAACAAAGAATGGAGGAACTTGTGGTAAGTATAAAAAATGACCACACACCAAATCGGAAGTTGTTCACTTTGCATATATTCTGCTTATTTTACTTGAGAGAAATGAAGCCACTCATTTTGAAAAGAAAGTTTTAGAAACATTCAAGAGCAGAGTGGGATTAACACAGGATTCAAAAAAATAATTGGCACAATAGGTGGAACCTCAGGGTTTTTAAACAGGCATAATGGTTACTCAGTCTTGCCCCTCACCCAAACCATCAGTGGTGAGACAGTGGGAATTTCAAATCACAAATACACATCTTCTCACTCGCTACTGGGATTGGATCAAATTCTCAGATTAAATAATCGGCTTTAAAATAATTAGCAAAATCTCTGAAGAGCTAAGTTGTTCAAGACATTAAAGGGTAATTATGCCAGCATTTACTGTATTGCCAGCAGCTAGGATCTACTCAGAGACTTAAGATTAACATCCTCCAATTAATTATTGGCAGCAACTCATCTCACCATTTCCGGTCACATCAAATTCTGTATCCAAGAGTTCGACCCTCTGGTTGGGAAACTGTGGATGCTCGAACTGGACCTGTTGTGCTTCCACAGGGTTCGGAACTGGAACATGTTCCACGTAGTGAGGGTATTTGGGAGGCTGCTCTTTCACATCTAGCTGCGAGTCAATCTTATAAACCCCTGGCTCTAGAGGAGTTGCAAATTCTTCATTTAGTTCGATGTCTTCATTTTCTGGTCCATTCTCAACCACATCCAAGTAACGACTGCTTGGATGGTCAATGGTGGTGGCGGCAATGTTGAATGCATTGGGGATGGACTCGGCAGCAAGGTGCTCGCTTACCTCACCAGGAACAATGGTCGAGTTAGTTGAACTCCCAAGCTGGAAAACCCAAACTCCTCGGTTTCCAGAGTTGGTGTCTCTGAAAAAGTCAACATTGAATAAAGCTTTGTAAGAATGCCAGCAATACACTGAGCAAGAGACTTCATGAGATGGAATAGCAGTGAGTCACGGCAGAATACTTTCCACCCCCGTGATAGAAAAGTAAACAGCAAGAAGGATTTTCACAGAACAAATCTAAATTTAAAGCTGCTACATGCTACACCGTATTCCTTAAAATCAGGCTCCCCTCTCCCTCCTTACAGAGGAAGGGTTAACAGATGATTTCCTGAACTCTTGAGTTTTCTGAACTGTACAGGTTGATTTTCTCTGCAGTTCATCATGCTCTGGGAAGTGCAAAACCTCTTCTCAGCATCTTCTTGTGGACAGTCCAGCTAAGATCAGGAAATCCCCATTAGGACACCTGGTCACCTTTTGAAGCTTTTAAGTCAGAATGCATTGCTAACTCTACACTAATGTGTGTTTATGCTAACTATAGAGACAGTCAGTACAAATTAATCAGAAAACAGTGCATTAGAAGCCAAGTCATCTTTCAGGTTGGCACTCAAGACACATTGTTTAAAATAATTACTGTTGAATGATTACAAGGATTTACAACCCATCTTCAAAACAAAATCATAATCAGGAAGCCCAGAACTAGGAAAACATCTGTTATTTACAGGCTAATGTGAACTTTCCAAATACCTTAATGTAATCAGATCATAACCAAGATATGTTACTGCAGGAATCAGAACATAGACAGCTGGGTCATTGCACAAACTACCATGCATATTTAACACCATGCATGTTGAACACCATGCCTTGGGTTTGCAGAGTGAATAAGTGTTAAAGGCCACAGCTTCTCAGTTTTCTCCAAAGCTGAAAGACCATCCTGCGAACACAGGAGTTAACCAGTTCAGAATATGGCTTGATATCTGTGGTCTCACACACACAAGCTCAAACTCACCTGGGCTATCAAACTGCAGCTCTGGCAAGGCAATTCCCCCCATAAAGAGAAAAAAAGGAAAATAATGAAGACATTTTGATTTCACTCCTTAGTTTAAAAGTATGTTTCATCATTGATATTTCTAAAGGGACAACGAAGAAGGACACCTGGCCTGTGCCAGGCTGGCAATACAATGCAAAGCTACCAGCCACCTCATAGCCTTGCAATATTACAAACACATATTTGGTATAACAGGAATATTTTGGAAAAACTTCTCTCTCCCTTCAATTGCTCCCATCTTGTCTGAATTACAAGATGGACAGCTGTGAAGAACAGTGATGTTTTGTGCTTCACAGCTGCATAGATTTTCAACAACAGAATAAAATAACCAACTTACTAGTGTGAAACCCTTGAGCCAAGGTTCCATTCGAGAGAATGTGCCACATGTTAGAATACAAATGATCAGCACCCTCACCCTATTAAAAAAAATTAAAACACAGCAACGCGCGAAGTCTTGAAAATATATCAGAAAAGATTTAATTGTACTTTACTGAATGGAAGTGGCACCAAAGTAAAAGGCATCCAAATCAAGTAGTTCCTGTCCAGCATAGATCTGAACCAATGTTTCCAATGTTTGGTTGTCCTCTGCCCATTCTTCCTTGATAATACACAATCTGGAGTACAATATCACTGGTACCGGCCACCTTACAGTATTACCTCACCTGAGCAACCATTTATCATGCAAGAATTCAGAGCAGACTCTGGCAAGCTATTGAAGCACAGATCTGTCTAATAATTCTTTCTACACTCGTAAACTTTCCAACAAGCGAGCCCGAGATGGTGGTCAAGAGTATTCCCCTCTTCAGCCCAGGGGTATTCAGCCAACTGATGTACCTTACTGTCATCTATGTAGGAACTGGAGTGGCCCTTCAAGCCTGGTCCACTGTGCCTCAACCTGCAAAACCAATAATCGAACCTGGGATCTTCCTGACTTATATGACTGAGTTCTACATTGAGCCCCTCACTCTCCAACAGATTTATTGAGTAAGCTAGGATAGCAAATTGAGTGGTTATACCAGCACACTTTCACAGTCATCTCTGACCGAATAGAGTACCTTACTTTGGGAGATAGAAACAGTTTTTAAAAAAGTCTAGCACTGAAGCCTGGGCTGTTTGTTGAACCATGCAGCTGCCTGACCAAATGAATTGGGCAAGAGGCTGATCGCTACCTGGGCAGCAGTCAGGGCACTACAATCGGTCTCAACATTCCCTGAGCTGGAGAGGGCTAAAATACCAAAATTGGATTCTACATTCTATTCAATGATCCCTGTTGGATCAACCTTCCCTGTACAGTGGGTCTGCTAATACTCACTGTCTGCACTCAATCAGAATACAGCTACTTGGACAAGGTCTCAGAATAAAGCTGGAATTCATGGAACCGCACTCCAGCTCACGACAGTGTCTTTGAGAGGAACAGTTGGTGGGGGGGGGGGGGGGGGTGAGAGTGGGTGGGGTAGAAGAGAAAGAGAGAAAACCAAGAAAAAAAGTACAGACAAGAGAATTTTAAGTTAGTCAAAAAAATATAGGTTTCTTACTGATAAAGGTTCTTAACAGACTGCTCGCTGCTGGATGTAACTGCGTAAGAAGGTCCTTCGAGTGTAAACAGCACAAAGCTGCTCTCTCCTCTGCTGAAGCCAACTCTGGCAGGCAGTTCTAAGTCAATGTTATTTGCAGCTTTGGCATGGGTGCCATAAAACTGCAAGCCATCCTCAGGATACAGAAAGATAGCGTAGGAACTGGATTCATCTGAAGCTAGTACTGCTTGGAAAGTGTTTCTCTGATGGCAAATAAAACAATTAGGATTGTTAAAACAGTAACTGAAGTTACAGCAAATAAATAGTCTTAGCTTAGGAGGCCAGAGAGCCTGGAAACATACACAGAGAGAACATTAATCTGAAACAATTGGTCTGTAGCTGATCAGGCAACTGGGGTGGGCGGGTGGGGAGAAAGAATCACATTGAGACTTGACTCTTCTTGGTTCCAGGCGTAAGTGCAGTTGACGGTAGAAAGGCAAGCACACTGCCTCATTAAGGACTAATTTCATGTAGGAACTAAGCATTTTAGTTTCCCATATATCCAAACTCATGAATATAAAACACATATGCTTTATACCTATTTTTTTTTCTTTTGAGAAAGATTGCGAGACTGTACATGCTTCCCAATGCAAGTAATTCAGGGGGCCAGGGGACATTGGGAAGAAACAGAAACTTTACAGCAATCTGTTTTCAACCCCAATGCTCTGTGCAGCACTGATTGTAACCTCAAAGAGAAGCAGCAAAGATTGCAAAGAAAACTAGCTCAAGAGCTGCAGTGAAGCTGACCTCAAAGACAAAGACATTAACTCTTACCCCCCCACTTACTATTACTTTTACTTGGTCAATTTTTTAATCCTTCTTGCCTTGATCAATCCACGCATTAAAGCTTTCATTAGGAATTCTGTTTATATCTATCATCACTTAAAAACTTTTTTTTTAAAAAACAAACAAAAATGACTTTTTCCCCCCCAAAAAGTGCAGCTACAAGAACATCATCAATCAGCAGCCCTACACACCTCAGCCAGGTGGGCATTTTTCATGTCTGAGCTGAAGCAGTGAGTACTGGCGAGTTGGCTGATGGACAGTGGGATGAGGGTGGGTTGGGTGGGGGGCAGGGAGAAGAGGCTTGCACAGAAGATAAACATGGTCCTTTTCTTACCTAAAGTCCAGAAACGTGCAAATTCTATAAGACTTCACTAGGTAGTCACCAGGCATTACATATTGGGACATTGAATATAAGAGCAAGGATATAATGTTTAGATTTTCACAGCACTTTGGTTAGTCTAGTTAGTGTACTGTATCCAATACTGCATCCAGTTTTGGCCAATCTGCTGCTTTTAAGGCATTGAATTCCACCCATCCCTAGCCTGCAAGACCATTTTGCCTTAAAATTTAAAATTGTGCCAAATTCAATAAAATTCTTAAATTCACTTTCAGTTTGGATGCCAGTTCTTTGAGTTTTTGAAATAATCAATTTCCAAATTAAGAGTGAATTTAAGAAATATCCACAAAAGTGAGCACTCTGGATATACATCTTAAACTTGTTTTTGAGAATGAATCCTCCAAATCTAAGAATGTCCTCTTCAACCAATAACATGGCAAATCTTAATCCAAATGTGGGTTCTGGTCCAATTACCTTGCTTTGTGGTTGGTCCCCTTGTTGCAAATCCTTATAAGCACGCACGTCTTCCCAAGTGGCAATAAAAGCGTTCTCTGGAATGAAGCTCAACTGATGAAAGCCTTGGTTTACCATTAGTGCAATGCGCTGGAGGGTGTACGGAGTGGAGTCTTGCCTGTAGAAGATCTTACCCAGTGCATCCGAAGTGTCCAGATCTGCCAGAAATGGAGCAATGGCACCAAACCTTGGTGGAAACAAATCTACATAATCGACCTCCCGCGGAGGCTTATCGAGAGTGAGGATTCCATTTGTGCCGACCTAGAGTCAAAGGTAAACAATATGAAAAATGTGTTTGGAAAAAAAACAAAGCAATGTTTTATAAAATTCTAAACACTGGATTAGGTGCTGCCAAAAGATTAATAGCAAACATTTTGAAAACTTGATCAAATAGATAAAGCTGATTTCTTTCCCCACCTCTCAAAAATTTGCAGTTAATCCTCGCCCTCAATAGCGGAGACATTTTCCAGCAGGAAAAACATTCACGATTTTCCTAACTGGTAGATTGGTGGGTGTATTTTAATAATGCACAAGAGCCCCCCACCCCCACCCCCCCAACACACACACATTCAAACCTGGCCAAAGACCAATGAAATGGCAAAATGAAGCATTGGTTTACAGAACTAAACAGCACACCTACTGTATTCAGGAACCCAGTATTATAATAGGTACTGCAAAGATAGTCTAAATTGTGCAACAATTTCTGAAAAGAAAACTTCACGCGAACTATCCTATTTAAAGCGGTTTGAAGATGGTTTGTTGACCTTAACTTCAGACAAATCAGAGTTGGAAAAAGGGTGGGTGTGAGGGAGAAAGAAAGAGATCGCCTCTAAGTAAGACTGCATAACTGCAGTGATCTTATCTTAAATCCTCAGTATTAACCCTAACACTGAAGTCTCTGGTGGCAGCACCACATTCCTGTGAAATTCTCCTGATTCTTTGTTAGTTTTGCAGCCCCCACCGGACTGCATAACAAACAAAACCAGGTGTGTCAGTGGGGGGACCCAAAGCCTTTTAGGGTCCAGTCAGTGCCTTTCTCCCTCCTCCAGCTTCACCCCCCACCCCCCTCCCCACCACCACCAGCCCTTCCCACAGCTCAACAGGTCTCCAGCCACCCACAGCATCACTGAGGCTCATTTCATTTCCCTCCTGCTCAGCTGGAGAGAGTGATGGGGGGGGGGGGGGGGGAGCATAGTTACTCCTCAATGAGACCCAAGGGGTTACAGAGTGCATACTCACATACAGGCTGCTCACTGCTCTATCAAAGAAATGCAAGTGCTGGTTCAGCCTGACAGGCTGGGAGGTGGCATCGTCTCCCGGCTCCACCAGACTGTCCCCCACGCCCTCTCCGTGAGGGAATAACTCACTGCGGGACACAGAGCGCACAGTGACCGCCTGCAACAGCAGCAACAGCAGCAGCAGCAGCTCGAACTGCAACGTGCACCTTCTCCTCCGCACCAACATCGTTCACCCGGTGCACACAGACAGCCCTGGAGAGAGAGAGAGAGGGAGAGAGAGAGAGGGAGGGAGGGAGTGAGGAGTCAGTGCTGCTCTGTCCAGGCTCTGCTCTGCTCCTCTCTCCACCGCCTCTCCACTCAACTGCACCCGACAGCCGCCCCCTCGCCCGCTCTGACCAATCACGGTCCCCAGCACAGCCTGACTGACAGGCGGGGGCGGCTGCCCCACCGCAAGTCCTCCCTGAGCCAAGTTCAACCAGACCCCACCAGCACAAGTGCAATGTAAAACACTGCCCCCCCCACCCCCCACTCTCCCTCCCCCCCCCCCCCCCCCCCCCCACCCACCCACCCACCCACCCACCCATCTCCTCTGCTCGGGCATCTGTCCCCGCCACCGTACGGTCCTCCGAGACGTTACTTTACTCGAATAATAATAATGATCCTCGCATTTGATAATAGTGAGTTTCACGAACGTAGGACGTCTCGAGACACCGCACGGGGTTTGCTGTAACGCGTAGTGACTGTGTTGTGCAGGTTACCCACAGGAGGGTTAGAGCGTCACGTAAACCCATGTAGATGGTATTGTTGTAATAATGGGTGGTCCACATTTATTTTGTACAAAATGACCACTTTGTCTTTGAACTCTGTTTAAAATCCAAACCCCGGGCATCACTGGGCATGTGGCTCAAATCAGGCCTCGCTGCCAGATCTGTTTGGACTACACCAAAGCCTCTCGCTTTTCATGACCGAATCCTCCTACCCCAGGCTCATCCTAGTTGGCCCGAGCGGCCAGCTTCCGTGTTGTACATCCTGTGTAACCTTTTGTAAATACAGCAAAAGTAACTCCAGACTCCTCTTCACCATGAACCATCTCTTCCATCCACCCTCCCACGCTGCCTCTATTCTCACTCTCAAAGCCAAATGGAAGGAGGTTTTGGATTTTCTAGTTTTCAAAGTTGGCTCAACTGTCTCCACTTCCTTTTCCTCCTTGCCACATCCCTCACCTTTCAACCCGTCTCCTCTTCTCCCCTTCTCCTCTTTTCTCCCTCATCTCCCGCATGAAACCCACTGCTCCCTTGACCCATTCCTAAATGACTTCATGCTGTTTCTTGCCCCCCCCCCCACCCAAACCCCACTCCCACCCCTACTTGCCAGTGTCATCAACCTCTCCTATTTCCTAGAGCACAGTGCCCTGCCTTCAAAACCATTGTTATCACCCCTTTGGGGAAAAAAAACTCACCTAATACATCCAAACTCTTCAGTTTTCACTCCATCTACTACCTTCCCTTCTTCTCCAAGGTGCTGGAATGTAATGTTGCCTCTCAGCTTTATTCCTTCCTCTTTCGTAGCACCAAGACAGCCTTGGTTAAGGTTACCAATGTGCAACCAGGGCCTCTTTAACCCCCACAAACTCTTTGCTGCTTTCAACACCGTTGACCATTCTATCCTTTCCCATCATCTCTCCTCCCTGAACAACTCTATGGCTCTGCACTTTCCTGATTAAGCTTCTTATGGCCTCTATTAGCTGTAATAGGTTATCCTCAGGCCTCCTCATAGTCACTTGTATAGTTCCTCAGGGCTGTATCCTTGGTCCTCTCAATTTCCTCATCTATATGCTCCCTCTTGGTAACATTATCCACAAGCATGGGATTCAGTTCCATAAGTGCATGGATAACACCCAACTCTACCATTCTGCCTCTACCATCAACTCTAGAATAACTGGTGTCCGGACAGACAAAATTCTCACCAGCTTGAAACTGAGTTTATATTATCCCCTTCCTCTCTGGTAGCTCCTCTCTCCCACCAAGATTTCCCACTCGAGGTAAATGTCAAAGCAAGTCTCTCAAATTCTACATGTGTTCCCATCATTATTTCTCAACCCATGGTCAGATTTGATTCTAAGATGTTTGCACATAGTATAAGGACCTTTATAAAATTAAAGAATATCTGATAATCATTTTGGGGGGAATTGTCAGCAAAGCATGATTTACAACAGTAATAGTTTGAGACAGCAGTCGATCATTAGAACGTCTATCTGAAAGAAGTTCCAGGCATGAGTCCTATTTTCAAGATAAATAGCAATAATCATTTGATATAAGCTTGATATAATGTCAGCAATGTTTTATCAAGCATATCAAAGGATTAAAGCACTTCACAGGTGATTGCTTTAAAGTGTAGTGGCTGTGTGTAGGCAGGCAAATGTGGTAGCCAACTTTGCACAAAATAATGTCCTACAACTATGGATTCATGTAAAGGGTTCTTTAATATCTGCCTAAAAAGGCCGACAGAGTTTTGGCTTAACCTTTCAAATGAAGGACATCGCCTCAGACAATCCAGTGCTCCCCAAAAGTGGACTGGAGCATCAGCCTTCCCCGAAATTTGAACTCAAAACCCTGATGTTGATTTTGAACCCATTTACCCAAAGGCGGGAATTCCAGTAACTGAGCCAAGCGGACACTGAATGATAAGCTTACATAATAATTCCAACAGTAGATATTGTAACAATTTATATCATATTGTCATAATTCCATAGAAACGGAATGATACAGCAGGAGGCCATTTGACCCATTTTTCCATGTCAATGTTTGCTCCTCAAGAAGCCATCCACCGTAATCCCAATTCCCTGTTCTTTCTCCGTTCCCTGTCACGCCCTTCCTCTGTATTTGCATGTCCAATTAAATTTTAAATGCCCCCATTTTGCATCTAGTTTACAGTCCAATTTCCCACAAGATTCCTTTGATGTATCCATCTCTAAATCTAATAATCTTGATTATTTTTAATTGACAGGAAATAGTCTGGTTCCTTTGTAAAACCTTGGTGGTTTCTTGTTACTTCCTGGGCTGGAGGGTTGCTGCTAAAAAAAATGCATCCTGCACTGCCCGTAATTTTTAGTCTGTGTTTTGAATATATGACCCATTGTTTGCCAAACCTGTTCATCTTAAATGCCTTTGTTTGGTCTGTAGAAAACAAAGTGGAAACCAAGCTCTCAGAGGGTAATTCAGCAATGGAGTAGACATACAGGCTTAGAATGGTTAGAGGACTAGGAGTGAAGCATTCAAAGGTAAGAGTTGGCAGCTTTGTGGTAATTTGTGATACTTCTTAACACATGTCTTCATAATAAATGTGTAATTATCAAATTTCTAAAACGTTTGAATATTGTCAGCACATTCAATAGTGTAGAAATTCAATAACCTAGTAAAAATTCTGTTAAGAAACACTACAAATTAGACCCCATTGTTTGGCCTCACGCATAAAGAATGAGCACTTGTGTAATGTACTCATGGGTGGGACGTTTCCATGGAACTGTAACCCAGCAGGCGTAAGAGGAGAGTTATGGGAGAAAATTGGAGTTGGCTAATAACATACATATGTATGAATTTGAATATATATATCTCATTTCCCCAGTACTCTGATATCATCTTGTTCAAAACATATATTATGTGTGTGTGTGTACATACAAAATCCAACTGTTGCTATCAGGAGTTCATTCATGAGTACAATTTCATGTGAAAATGGCTATGCTGATTGATTTGACATAGTTCCAACGCAGGCTTAACACAAGCAACTGTTGACTTTGTCTTCATTCAATATGGCAAAGGCTGAAAGAGTAGTGCAAACTTGCAGAAGCTGAAAAAAACACATGTATAAGTGTACAGTATACACAACAGTTCTCCATATTAGTACAATGATGCCATTCTGTTCTGGGATGTGCACACCAGCACCTAGGAGTGCTATAATTGACTTCCATGACATGAGGTAAGGAGTTGCAGAAAGAAGCACATGCAGAGGAGCTTAAATAAGATAGTTTAAGAGAACAGTACAAGAGGATGTGCTTTGCACTGGCTTGAATGCTGATCCAGAGTTGCCCAAGTCAGAATACTGGTTAGTTGCACAGTTATATAGGATGGGAAAAAATCAAACAGATATCTCCAGGCACTCATTAGTTGCTGACATTGATGTCTGGATGGAGTCTGGGACTTACAGAACTGTCTCCCACAGACTCCCCCCAGCACATGCCAGTGCCTTTCAAAGAGGGAGGGGGAGGGAACGAATGTTAGCTCATGAAAATGTTTCAGGTAAGTTTCTCCCAAGCACTTTTGCTGTCTAATAAGGGGGATATTGTGAAGCACCTTGACACCATGACACTAAACCAACGTGGCCCAAGAATGAGTTTCAACATGATTTATATTATGTTGTGCATTTTGTAAACAATCAAAAAAAGAGATTTGCCAAACATATTGCCTTTTAACCTTTCGTTCTTGCATACTGAAGCTGATGGGAAGGGGAGAAAATAGAATAATACCAAAGGTCCATTTAACTCAATTCAAACTTTCCATTTTGATGTGGCTATACCATCTTCCCATCTTTGATCACAATGTTCCTATATAAGTGTTGAAAGCAACAAGAAAACATACAAGCTAATGTTGCAGTAACCCCTATTGAGCCTCAACCACAATCTCACAGGAAAAAGGAATCCTTATGTTGTCTGTCTATTTGTTGGTTCTGTTATTCATTCCATTCCCTGAGGAGATTGAGGATACTCTAAATTCTCAAAAAGAAAACATTGGCAGGAGTAATGTACATTGCATTCTCTATGAAGCATGACTAGTTTTTGTTTTGCCTTCTGGGAGTGATCAAGTGTCAGTGGGAGTATATGGATATTTGAAACAGTCCAGAGCTGGGGGCGATGAGTTGTTCTATACCTTAGAGCTCCAGAGTAGTTGTTTTTAACCTAGTATATGAACTTCAAAATGGTAAATATTTCATTTTAAAGTGTGCTCCAGAAATCCTTAGTATTTTACAAACTGAGCATGTATGACAAATTTCTCTAACTATGAACTACAAGCCAAGTTGAACTCAATACCTACAATATTCACGGTTTTTACATTTGCCTCTTTCCTTGTCCATGTAGCTGTTGTACTGTCACCACAAGCAGTTAAGGCCACAGATGTTTCAAAAGCTGATGTCAGTTCTGCTATACGACCAGCAGGAAGTTAGGCCTCTTCATACTTAGTGGAAAGGTGGGGTCAAGAAAATATCAACCTTTTCTTTGAACAGAAACACTTTGTT